TTTTTTTTCCAGTTTATTAAAGTAGACATCGAGATCATTGAGACCTTTCTACTTTTCATTTATATAAATATGTAGTACTATAAATTTCCCCATACCTACTGCTTTAACAGCATACTACAAATTCTAATATGTTGTGTTTTCATTTTCATTCAGTTCAAAACACTTTCTAAAAACCCTTTATGATTTCCTCTTTGATCCAGGGGTTATTCAGAAGTTTGTTACTTAACTTTCACATACTTCAGATTTTCAAAATATCTGTTATTAATATCTAAATTAATTCCATTATGGTAAGAGATATACTTTGAATGAGTTGAATCCTTTTGAACTTATTAGGGCATGTTTTGTGTCCCAGAATATGTTCTATCTTGGTAAATATTCTGTGTGCTCTTCAGAATAACTTGTATTCTGCTATTGTTGGATTGTTCTATAAATGTCAATCAGGTTAGCTTGGTTGATAGTATTGTTGATTTTCTGATTATTATATCAATTGAGAGAAGAGTTTTTGTCTATTTCTCCTTCTATCAGTTTTTGCTTCATGTATTTTGAAGACCTGTTATCAGAGGCATAAACATAAATGTTTAGAATCATTCTATGTCCTTTTCATTAATTGATCCTTTTATCACTATGAAACAAACTTCATCTCTGGTAATAGTCTCTGCTTTGAAATGCAGTTAAGTTATTAGACACAATTTGATCCTTTCAGGTCTTGCTTTTATTTGTTAGCTGGGTCTGGAGCAGTGTTCATTAAAATAGCAATTCCAACTTGCTTGTGACTAGAACTAGTATATCTTTATATTTACAGGGTGTTCCTAGTGAGCAGCATACACTTGAACTTGGTTTTTTAGCCAATCTGACAATTTCTGCCTTTTAACTGGGATGTTTAGACCATTCACATTAACACATCTTGGTATCTATCCCATCTGTTCTGTTACCTATTACCTTTTCCTGCCTCCGTTAAGATTAAGTATTTGTTTATAATTCCATTTTATCTCCTTTCTTGCACTACTAGCTATATATCTTTGTCATTTTAGCACTGTCTTTAGTTGATAGTTGTGATAGGCTGAACAATGTCAGCCCCCCACCTCCCAGATATCCACATTCTAATCCCTGAAAACCGCAAATGTTACCTTTTATGGCATAAAAGGGGAGTATACAACTGTGATTAAGGATCTTGAGATGAGGGGACTATCCTAGATTATCCATCTGGACCCTAAGTAATCATCAGTGTTGTTATAAGAGGAAAGCAGAGGAAGATTTGGCAGAGACATAAAAAGACGAGATAATGTGTTTGAAGGCAGAGATAAGAGTGATGTGGACACAAGCCAAGGAATGCCAGCAGCAACGAGAAGCTGAAAGAGGGAAGGAATGTATTCTCACCTACTGCTTGAGAGCCAGTAGAATAACCCTGCTGAACTCCTGATTTGGGCCTAGCAATAGTTTTTCAATTTCTGGCCTCCAGAACTATGAAAGGAAAAAATTCCACTGTTTTAAACCACCAGGTTTGTGGTTAATTTGTTACAGCAGGCAAAAGAAACTAATATAATAGTGTATATCTTTAACTTATTGCAGTCCAACTTTCCTATTACACCACTTCATCCAGTGTCCAAATTTTACTCGACTTCCATGCTCTCCTCTTTTGGTCTTGATGCTTTTGTTGTCATGTATTTTACTTCTACATATGTCATAAACTCCAAAGCACGTTATTAATTTCATTTAAAAAGTCAATTTTCATTTAAACTTATTCTAATAATAGGCAAAACTGTTTTATTTATCCATGCAGCTTCCATTTCTGGTGCTCTTCATTCTTTTGTTTAGATTCAGATGTCCAACTGGTATTATTTTCCTTCCATCTGAAAGAAATGTTTTAAAATTTCTTATACTTCAGGTCTGAAAATACGTCTGAAAATGTCTTTATTTCACCTTTATTTTTTAAAAGACATTTTTGCTGGGTACAGAATTCTAGGTTGATATTTTTTTCTTTCAGTCCTTTTAAGATGTTGCTCTATTATCATTTCACATATATTGTTTCCAGTGAGAAATCTGATTTCATCTTTATCCTTGTGCCTCTACATGGACTGACAATTTAAGATTTTCTTTTTTTTTTCCCCTCAAAGATTTTATTTTTTTCCTTTTTCTCCCCCAAACCCCCCTGGCACATAGTTGTGTATTTTTAGTTGTGGGTCCCTCTAGTTGTGGCATGTGGGACACCGCCTCAGCATGGCCTGACAAGCGGTGCCATGTCCACACCCAGAATTCGAACTGGCGAAACCCTGGGCCGCCAAAACAGAGTACGTGAACTTAACCGCTCAGCCACAGGGCTGGCCCCTAAGATTTTCTTTTTATCACTAGTTTTGAGCAATTATGATGTGCTTTGGTGTTTTCTTCATGTTTCATGTGCTTGTACCTCAATGAACTTCCTGGATCTGTGGGTTTAAAATTTTCATCAAGTTTGAAAAGATCTCACCATTATTTCTTTGTTTTTTCTTCCCATCCTCTCCTTTGAGGATTCCAGTTATCTCTATATTAAGCTGCCTCAAGTTGTTTTACTGTTTTAGAATTTAGTTTTTTTATGTTTCATTTTTAATAGTTACTACTGTTACGTCTTCAAGTTCATTAATCTTTTCTTTTGCAATATCTAGTCTGTCATTCATGCCATCCAGTGTATTTTTCATCTCAAATACAGTTCATTTTCAAGTTCAGTTTGAATCTTTTATATCTTCCATATCTCTACTTAATTTTTGAACAAATATGAAGGTTATTAACAGTTTTAAATGTCCTTCTCTCCTAATTCTCACATACAAATCCAGCTGTCTTTTTTTAAGCCATACAGAAATTTCCAAAATTGCAAAACAATACAAGTTTTCCCATCAAATATTATTTTGCCTTAGAAAAGTTGATTATTCATTAAAACGTGTGTTAATATACATAGGTTTATTAAGTGAATTAATAAAATTTTTCTGATTTCTAATTCAGAAAATATTGATATAACCCACATAAAGAAAAACAGATCTTGCTCGATTTTGATTGATTGAATATTCTATTTGTTATGTTTTCCTGCCTCTTTGCATGTCAATTAATTTTTGCTCAAACACCAGCCATTGTAAATTTTACTTTGCAGGGTGCTGGATATTTTTGAGATCTTTTAAATTTTCTTGAGCTTTGCTCGGGAATGCAGTTATTAGACACAATTTGATCCTTTCAGGTCTTGCTTTTATTTGTTAGCTGGGTCTGGAGCAGTGTTCCATCTAGGACTAACAGTTCCCACTACCAAGCAAAAATTTCCTCAGTGCTCTACCCAGTGCCCCATGAATTATAAATTTCTCCACTGTAGTGGTAACAGACACAGTTCCTAGCCCTGTATGAGCAACAGGCACCACTCCCTCTAATCCTTTCAGATGGTTATTTTCCCAACTTCAGGAAGTTTCCTCACACACACGGCCTGATCAGTACTCTGCTGAATACTTGAAGGGAACACTCTACAGATGTCTGGAGTTCTCTGTCTGTGCAGCTCTCTCCTCCCTGGTATTCTGTCCAAAACACTCTAGTTGTGTTGTCTTCCGGGGCACTCAGCATTGTCTCCACAACTCAAGGAGTCTGTCAGACTCTATCTCAGTTCCCCCGCCCTGTGTTATAGCTTGAAAATGCTCAAGGCTGTAAGATGGGGCAATTATAGAGTTCACTTCTCTGCTTCTTCTCTCTCTGGAGTTGCTGTCATTTGTTGCCTCATGTCCAATGTCTAGAAAATGTTGTTTCCATTTTTTTTATTGTTGTTGTTGCAGAAGGGGTTACCCCCATTACACCATTATAGCTGGAAGAGATATCTTATTTCAAAGTAACAGATTTTAATGTAATAGAGTAAAATAAAATTCACTGATACGGTTCCAGATTCCACATTATATAAATGTAAATTACCTTTAACAAACAACCACTTGTTCAGTTTTAGTGTAATATCAAAGAAGATTCAGAGCTATCTAAAACTGCTGCTTAAAGTGTTCCTCCTTAACAAAAAGTAGATTAGTGGTTGCCAGGGGCTAGGGGAAAGGGGAATAGGAAATGACTGCTAATAGGTATGGAGTTTCTTTGCAGAGTAATAAAAATGTTCTGAAATTAGATACTGGTGATGGTGGTAGAAACTCAGGGAATATATATTTTAGTATACTAAAATCTACTGAGTTGTACTCTTATTTATAAGGTGAATTTTATGGTATGTGAATTCTATCTCATTAAAAAGACTTTTCCCAACTACATATGATATTCAAAATCTGTGAGGCCAGATTTTATACATATAATTCAACCAAAACAACTTACTGCAACAAACTGAATATAGCACCAGATGTGAGAATCCAGTTGCCTTTTTTAAGGCATATAGTAAGAGAGTTCCAAAAACACAAAATGAAAGTTTTCTCACCAAATATTACTTATAGAAAAAGTTATTTTTCAAGAAAACGCTACTTATATTAATATGTAATACCTCTACTATTACTTTAAAGTGAATTAATAAATTTAAAATATTTTTCTGTTTTAATTTCTAATTCAGAAAATATCAAGAGATATAACCCACATAAAGAAAAACTCATTGGGGGGCCAGACCCGTGGCATAGTGGTTAAGTTTGCCATGCTCCGCTTTGGCGGCCTGGGTTCGGTTCCCAGGCGTGGACTGACACCACTCATCAGCAGCCATGCTGTGGTGGCAATCCACGTACAAAACAGAGGAAGACTGGCACAGATGTCAGCACAGGGTGAATCTTCCTCAAGCAAAAAGAGGAAAATTGGGAACAGATGTTAGCTCATGGTGAATCTTCCTCAGCAAAAAAATAAATTTTAAGAGTATAAAGAGTTCTTAGGCCATACAGATGAGACCTGCCAGCCTATGCCATCATACTCTGCCAGGGATTCCATACTAGTACACTTCTTAGTAATTAACAAAAGTAGTTAATAAAAAATGCCAAAACGAATATGTGTCAACACACACTAGTTTGTTATTTAATTGCATATCTTACTTGGAAGTTTCAGGCAGGCCAGCCGAGAGTTCCAGAAACACTGATAAGTAGTAACCACGAACAACTCCATTCCCATCCTTAAAAAAGAAAAATATGTTATTCAAATATAAACTCCAGATCAATTTAAATGTAAAAATTTAAGCCACACTGAATTTAAAAAAAAAAACAAAAAAAATGCAGATTAATACCTGATATTTGGATTGGAAAGTACTTCTAAGCCTAAAAACAGTAAGAGAAATAATAAAAAGACCAAGAGATTTGAGTCTATAACAACTTAAAACTTGGTACACACAAAAAACGCCAGGAAAATGTTAAGGCACACAAGTGAAGGAAGACATGAATAACTGTGAAAAGAGTTAAAAGTTTTAACATAACAGAACTCTTGAAAGTCAGTCTTCAAGAAAAATGAAAACCCCAAAAGAAAACACCAAAAAAATACTCAATTTCACTAGGAATGAGACAAAAAAATAATATTTAAGACCAAAAAAGAGTAAAATAGAAAAAGGTAACATGATGTTAAAAGTAAGTAAATATAATTTCTATGTTTTACATGTTAGGATTCCATATGAGATTCTGTCTGGAGATTGAGAAGTTGTCTAAATTTCTATTACAGAGATTTTTAAAAAGAGAATTATTCTCTTCTGTATTTCTCCAGTATTTTGTTCATGCCTACTTTTTTAAAGGATTACATTTGTTCTAACTGTATATATAAGCATCTGTTCCCCAAACCAGACTGTGAGGGCGGAGGGCAGAGATCCTATTATTCATCTCCAGCGTCTATTGGGATATGACTATAGAGGGGTACAAGAACATTTCTAGGCTACTTTGCTCCAAAAGATCCTAAGACAGCTTTCAGGATTTGACATGGTAATCATTCAATAAATACTAATGAATACATGAATCATCAGTTAAGTGAAAAAAGTCAGATACAAAAGATCACATATTGTACGATTCTATTATATGAAATTCTAGAAAAGCAAAACTATAGGGACAAAAGCAAATCAGTGGTTGCACAGGGGCCTAGAAAGGAGAAAGAAGGGACTAGCTGAAAAAGGGAATTAGAAAACTTTTGGGGTTAATACAAATCATGACTGCGGTAATAATTAAACAACTGCATATGCTTGTCAAAACTTGCCAAAATTAGTGAATTTTATTGAAAATAATATCACAAATTACATTGATTTTAGAAATCAATCAACACCCTTGTTACAATAGCTGGGTTTTTTTCTTCTTTTGAATTATGTTCCTAGAACAATTTCCCTGGAATGAAACTAATTAATTAATAAATAAAAGGAAATGTACATTTTCCACTCTGGATCTTCATCAGATAACAATAGCAGAAACCTTTTTTGGATTTAATTATCACAATTTTAAAGGAACAAAATCTGTTACTCTTATTTACATGCCAGCCAAACCTCTAACAAAATATCGGCTTTTCAGATTTTTCAACAGGCAGAGGTTTCTGGAAAGATTGCAGCAATGGCAGCATAGTTTTTGAAACTTCCCAAATCCAAACATAAAACGAAACAAAAAATAACTGGACAGCAAAACCTATAAGCTCAGAAACAACAAAATTAGATGACAGGTTGCCTCTACAATCCCCAAAATACAAGCAAGTAACAACATAGCAATTACAACCACAAAGACCTGCATGATATCAATATCTGTGAGGTAGAAAAAAAGGGGATGCAATGGGGCATCTAATGGACCAGAAAACAGGAAAATCACAAAATGGCCAAGAGTTAGTCACCGAAAAGTATTGTGAGCTAAATACTACAGCTAAAACTGGAAAGAGTTGTTCAATGTAATACCAACTGAGTACAAAGAGGCCTAATATAAAAACATCTGAGAACTAAATGCAGTCTAGTCACTCTAAACTCTTAAAAATGAATTATATAGGGCCTTTCAGGACAGGTCCAAGGACTGCAAAGAAACTGCTAAGAGTAAAGCAAAAGATAAACAGTACAGAAAAAATAAGAGATGAAGGGCAGAGAATGCCCAGTTAAAGGTAGAGGAGAGGGCCAGCGCCAGAAATCTATCAAAAAGTATGGCATATTTTTGATTGCCATATCACACTGGAGACCCACATGCAAAAGAATGAAGCTGGAGCCCTACATCATATATAAAAATTGACTCAAAATGGATCAAAGATCTAAACCTAAGTCCTAAAATCATAAAACTCTTAGAAGAAAACAGGGGGAAAGCTTCAGGATATTGCATTTGGCAAACATTTCCTTGATATCAATCCAAAAGCAAAAACAGACAAATTGGACTATATCAAAATTTAAAACTTCTGTGCATCAAAGGACACAATGAACAAAGTAAAAAGGGAGAAACAGAATGGGAGAAAATATGCGTAAATCATGTATCTAATAAGGGGTTAATATCCAGAACATATAAAGAACTCCTACAACTCAACAAACAACCCAATTGAAAAATGGGAAAATGACTTGAATGCCCATTTCTTTAAATGGGATACACAAATAGCCAAAAAAGCATATGAAAAGATGCTGAAAATCACTAATCACTAGGGAAGTGCAATTCAAAACTGCAATGAATATTACCTAACACTCATAAGGATGGCTACAATCAAAGAAACAGAAAACAAGTATTGACAAAGATATGGAGAAATTGGAACCCTTGTGCACTGTTGATGGGAATGTAAAATTGCTGCAGCCAATGTGAAAAACACTATGGAGGTTCCTCAAAAAATTAAAAACAGGGGCCAGCCCCATGGCCTAGTGGTTATTTTTGGCATGCTCTGCTTAGGCGGCCCGGGTGTGGTTCCCAGGCATGGAACTACACCATTTGTTGGCTGTGACCATGGCTACACCACGCTGTGGCGGTGACCCACATACAAAATAGAAGAAGAGTGGCACAGATGTTAACTCAGGGTGAATCTTCCTCAAGCAAAAGAGAGGAAGACTGGCAACAGCTGTTAGCTCAGAGCAAATCTTCATCAGAAAAAATAAATAAATAAAAATAGAATTACCATATGATCCAGCAATACCAGTTCTGGGTATATATCCAAAGGAATCCAAAGCAGGATTTCAAAGAGATATGTGCACACCCATGTTCACAGCAGCACTATTCACTATAGCCAAGAGGTAGAAGCAAACCAAGTGTCCACTGACAGATGAATGAATAAACAAAATGTGGTGTATACATACAATGGAATATTAGTCAGGCTTAAAAAGGAAGAAAATTCTGACACATGCTACAAGGTGGATGAACTTTGAGGACATTATGCTAAATGAAAGAAGCCAGTCACAAAAACACAAATACCACATGATTCTATACACACGACGTATCTAGAGTAGTCAAATTGACAGAAACAGAAAGCAGAATGGTGGTTGCCAGGGGCTGAGATGAGGGAGAAATGAGGAGTTACTGTTTAACGGGCAGAGAGCTTCAGTTTTGCAAATTAAAAAAGTTTTGGAGATTGGTAGCAGAACAATGTGAATATACTTAACACTACTAAATGTACACTCAGAAACGGTTAAGATGCTAAATTTTATGTTGTGTGTTATATATCAAAATGAAAAAGGAGAATAAAGAGCTAAATAACATCCCTACAAACAACAAAAGCACTCTAGAAGAACATACTCAAAGAACAGATTAAAATCGTAACCTATTTCAAAACAACCTAAAAGACAGTTAAGAAAATGACAACCGGGGCCGGCTCTGTGGCAGAGTGGTTAAGTTCGCGCGCTATGCTGCGGTAGCCCAGGGTTCGGATCCTGGGCGCGGACATGGCACGGCTCGTCAGGCCACGCTGAGGTGGCATGCCAAGTCCCACAACTAGAAGGACCTGCAACTAAGATATATAACTATGTACCAGGGGTGGTTTGGGAAATAAAGCAAAAAAAAAAGATTGGCAACAGTTGTTAGCCCAGGTGCCAATCCTTAAAAAAAAAAAAAAAAAAAGAGGAAGATTGGCAACGGTTATTAGCCTAGGTGCCAATCTTTAAAAAAAAAAAAAAAAGAAAATGACAACCTTCAGAAAGACAAAAGAAAAAGTGACATGAAAGAATAACACAAATCACATAAGGAAAACTCAGAAATCAGGCGTTGACACTAAAGAAAGAATCAGAAATAAAAGAAAAAGTTATTTAAGAAATAAAAACTGAACTAAAAGGAACACAATAGCAAGCACAATAGTTTATATCATAAAGAAAATAAGTGAACAAAGGAAAATTTTTAAAATAAAAAAGGAAAGTTAAAAAGATGAGAGAGAAAGTGATAGATACTGAAAACAAAGGAGATTCAAAATGCAGATAATACAAGTCCTCAGAAAGAAAACCAAAGAAAGAACAAAACAAATCTTTAACGCTATAATTTAGGAAATGTCTTCTTGAAGAAGGAAAAAAGATCTAAAACTACATATTGAAAGAGCCCAGCATACAACTGAGAATAGTCACCCAGAAAAACCAAGACAGATAAGTAGTAAATTCTTGGACTTAAAAAGATGATGATTATTTGAGTATCTAGACAATGTCAGCAAATTTTAAGGATTAGTTTATAATCAGACTTTACCTAAAGAAAATGGAATTGAACATTTAAGATACTTCATGAAAGAAAACATGAGCCAAGGATTTTATATCCAACAACATTGCCTTTAGAGTATAAAGGACACAGCTGTTTTAAACATATGAAAACTCAGGGAATATTGCTCCCATTAGCCCTTCCAGTAGAATCTACTAGAGGACAAGCTTTGGACATTTGAACTGCTGTCTAGATATGACAGAGGAGGGCAATGTGGAGAGTACATGCAAAAAATTTTTAAATAGGTCTCAGTAATCAAACTGATAGTAGAATTAGATTTCTTATTCTGAGATTTTTGTGTTTGTGAGGTGAAATAAAGCAAATGAGTGATTGTGAGATAGTCAATAATTTCCTATGACTTAAGGAGTAGGATTCATGGAGTGGAAGGAGATACAAGTATAATATAAAGAGATTAAAGTTAAAAATAATCTATAGTCCTGAATTTGAACTGTAAATGTATTAACTCATGAGCTGTTTTATCTTTAAATATATATATAAAAACGTGTCAAAAAATCCCTGATATTCTACAATTATATAGTAATTTTAAAGTGTTCATAAATATTTTCTCTCTATTGAGATCCCTGGAGTTTATTCACTTCAATTTTATCTATACTCTTACCAAGTTTTTCTCAAACTATTGTCTTTGGCCTAAAAACAAACAAACAAAAATCTATAAAACGTGTAACAACAAGAATGAACTCTAATGTAAACTAGGACTTTGGGTGATAATGTGTCAATGTAAGTTCATCAATTGCAACAAATGTACCTTTCTGGTGCAGGGTATGTTGATAGTGGGGAAGGCTGTGCATGTCTGGGGTCAGGGAATGAATGGAACTCCCTGTACTTTCCACTCAATTTTGCTATTAACCTAAAACTGTTCTAAAAACTAAAGTTTCTCCTAAATAAATTCTTAAATAACTAAATACAGATTACCCCTCACAAACCGAACACCCACATACCTTTACTACTCATTTCCTAGCTCTCTTCAATAAGGAGGCTAGAAACAGTGACCAACCTGGTAGAAATGAGCATCCCCAGCACCCAGTTAGGTTTTTTAAAAAAAATTAATTTTTTTTTTTTGAGGAAGATTAGCCCTGAGCTACATCTGCCAACAATCCTCCTCTTTCTGCTGAGGAAGAGTGGCCTTGAGCTAACATCTGTGCCCATCTTCCTCTGCTTTATATGTGGGACGCCTGCCACAGCATGGCTTCACAAGCAGTGCGTAGATCCACACCTGGGAGCTGAACCGGCGAACCCCAGGCCGTCAAAGCGGAACATGCAAACTTAACCAGTGCGCCACTGAGCCGGCCCCCCAGTTAGGTTTTCAAATACAATTTCCCCACTAAAAGGCATCAGGTCTCTTTCGATAAAATAGCCAATTCCAGGTACAGAGTAGGAAATGTACAAGATAAGCCCAGAATATCTTGCCATAGAAGAGAACAAGAAAGCTAACTACTTTGGTTATTACTAGGGACTATTAGGGTCAGAGCAAAATGACACAGAAGCCAACTTGAAGAGATTAAATACGTATAAATCCTTGAGTTCATAACGATATTTTTAAAAACCTAATTAATCACTTTCAAAGAATAATAAGGAAAAGTGGTAAATAACAGAAAAGAATCCTGCTTCTTCTACATAAACTGTAATACTGGGTAACCAAATAATAGATAAAGGGAAACACCTTTCTATAAAAGAATTCTAACCAACAAATGAAAACAAAACAATAAAATGAGAATGTCACTATTCTGCAACTCCCAATGAATTAACAGATGTAGGCAATGAGCATCAATAGCTGCCAATATCATAAAAGAAGATGCAACAAGACATGATATGATAAAAGAACACACTGTTGCTTATATTCTTGCCATAGGAATTGACTACATATCTCATTATGCCACTGGATTCAGCTGCCAATTTGCAGAAAATACACAGATCAAAGGAACACGCTAAAATGCACCATGAGTATGCAATCAGTATACACGTATTTTTGACGGCTTTCTGTATCTGTATTTTATTTTTACTTAAAAAATTATTTTTAAAATAAGAATTTTAAACATTTCTTGTAAGATAAATATGTTCCTACATATGATAAATAAGATTCAGTAAAATGTCAGGGTTCATACTGTTCATATTTAACTTGTTTCTTTCATAGATTTAGTAACATATCTTATAAAGAAACATACAGTTGTCATTAATTCCTTACTTCACTAAAAAAGTGAACTAGTGTACTACAGAACCTTTAAAGAAAGATATTGGTTTCAAAATTTACTAAAAATATGCAAAACTTACTGGGTAAACTTTTAACCTCCAACAAAGTCCTGAAACTTGAAGAGGTGGGCTGTAAACAGGATCTGCTCTCTGACGCAATGTGCTACAGTAAAAGAAAACAAACCAAATCCTAAGATCAAAACTGTTGTGAAAGAGCAACAGGCAAAATCAAAACCAACTACTTTATATATGTTACTTATTTGAAGTCCTGGACGATCTCTGTCATTCCATTCACCCCACCCTAGCAAAGGCTAAGTGGACTCTCTTCTTTAAAAACATGGTTCCTTTTCCCCAGACTAGAGAAGCAATCTGTCCGGAAGATAAAACACAATCCAGATGAATGACCTCTATGCTTCCAGGGGGAAACTTCTTTCTTCTAAGACTACACACCGACTGACACAGATCATTAGGTCTGTATCCTACCCAGGAATGATACCTTCCCAGCTCTTACTTGTATATATATATATATATATATATATATATACACAAAAAAACAGAGTTGTCAAAAACTTACCTGAAATTCTCTAAAACAAAAGTAGCTGAATCATAAGATGGTACTAATTCACTAAAAAGAAGCAAAACGCAAAAGAAATTATTTGGCTTATATAAATTTAAAATTTCATTTAGTTAAAAAACAAAGTTAAGAACCTCAGTAATATCTTGAAAACTTTATTAAACTAAGTCCCTAAGAAGTATTTTAAAATCCTTATTAAGCATAACATTAAATCAAATAAAGTCATAAAACCACCAAAAGCAGACAAGTTCGCAATTAAATTGGAGACAACAAATACTTTAAAAAATGCCTTTTTTTTAAAAAAAAGGCAATGTATGATTAAGCATTAAAATAAGCATAAGAGACATTTTAAAAGTACTCATGGAAATAGGAAAAGAAAGAAATTGGTGCTTAGGCTGGGAATCTGAAATATGAAACAGATATAAACAGGTTTAAAAAATCAAAAGAAACAGCAAAGCAAAAGCCACTACAATAAATCTCCAAATTTCCTTCTTCAAAACAAATTATGAGGAATATTGACAGACCATAAATATTTTGAGACTATTTACTAGTAAATAAACCTATACAATTTTATAGGCTAAGAACACATAATCACATAAGGGGCAAGTAGGATGGATGAGCACATTAACAGTTTCTTGGCAAGGCAAGACTAGCTCAGGCAACATTAGTTTCACAGTTTTCTCGAAAGACAACCAAGCTACCACCACAGGAGATAGGCAAAGGGATAGTCCATTTTGCTGCTAAATACCCTTGTATCATGTAAATAGTCTGCAGTACTGTCATTAAAACACCTCAAAAGTCAGTCAGTAAAACATTTATGATAAAGACACTATCATACATAATGTTTTAATAGAGTGTTATATACTTAATAAATAAAATTATAAGTTTACCAAAAAGATAAACTGCAAGCCATTTTACCACATCTTCAGATATATTTTCTAAAGTTCAATTCATGAAAATTTGCTATTACCAAAATAAGATATAAGATACATCTATAGCATTTTTACACTGTTACAGTGCCTAAAGAAATTACTGGTTTGCCAGTGACAATATAGTATAGAATTAAAAACACATTATTCTTTATTTTATGGTTAAGTATGTATAGTTAAATAGCTCACATCTTTTTCACAGTAAGTAGATGTGGTTTGCTCTGCTGTTAACTATGTAGCTACTATCCAATTGTCAAGCACCCCTACTATATTCCTAGGCCGTTATTACCTTTTCTTAGAAGATTCATATTCCTCATTCCCAGACCCTTTTGTCTGGTTAATTCTCACTATTCCTTCAGATAACAGATTAGAAGTCACACACCTTTGGAGGTCTGCTCTAACTTTTCCCCATTATATGCTCTCCCAGTACTCAATATACACAAACCCCAATTAGCAGGACCAATGCAATTAGCACCTGGGAAGCCTTCCTGGAACCAGAAACCTAATCAGAGCTCCAAGGAAGTCTCCTCAGGATAGTCTTCAAATTTGGTCAAGTTACGACGTGTTTTTGACGGTAATTTCATGCACCTTCCAATCACACAAGTGTTGGTCAATTCTCCCACCAAATTTATAACATCCTTCATAATGTCTAAAGACTTTAACCAATCCCCAGATGCCTGCTGATCTTCATACTGTTTCTTCCACTATGTCCTTAACATCCTCTTTGATATATTTCCTTTGTTGTTGTTACCGTTGTTTTTGCTGTAAGGCCAGACTATCACTGTCATATTTCGACCAGCCATTAAGGGTCAAAAGGGTTCACCAAAACACAAAATAAATGGCAGAAGATGACACGTTTAACTCAGAATAATAAGGCAGAACGCTGATGGGCTGAAGAGTATAGGTCACTGATGCTCACTAACCAAGAGGGTACACTATGTTCTGTCCTAGCTCTCACATGCTGAGAGAAAATGATCACATTCAGAGCATAAAAAATGTCTGCCAATTCTGGGGTACTGTGATATACTCCTACAAATGTAGATTTTTCAGGGAAAATTCTTCAGACAAATAACATTATAACAAATTAGTGCTATGGGGCAGCATTAAGCAGGATGCATATACTTCCTCTGTTACCAGTCATCACATTTTATTTTATTACTGCTTCAATCATCTGTCTTTCTCACTAAATCATAATTTGAGGAAACAAGAACTCTCTATTGTGCTCACTACTTGCACCTGGCACATGCCTGGAACATAGGTGGCATTCAGATACTCATTGAATGGATAAATATTTACAAACATTTGCTGGAAAATCCTTGTAATTTAGTTGAAATATCTCCTCAAAAATTTTTTTGCATTCTCTACATATATATACAAAGCCATAGCAACTGCTAAGCCAGCAAATTCCACCACTCTTAACTATTAACATCTCCACCTTATGCTTACTTCTTCAAAGGTTATCCACAATCGTACTGATGTTACCAATCTGTGCCTGCAAATAAGGCACAGCTTTATATTCCCATAGTTTTTTTTGTCTCTATACCTCCTCTACTATGGTCTTTATGACTAGAAGAATCTCATCATGGTGTCAGTAAATCTTCACAGAATATGGAGAAGCTGGCCTCAAACCACCTCTAGCCCAGTAACCTGAAAAATACTGATCCGTAAATCTTCAGACCAGAGACCTCATTATCACTTAATGAACAAAGGAAAGAAAAAGATGACCACAGTATCCATTTTTTCCTTGAGAGAATATATTGGTCAGCTATATAAAAACTGGTTTTCCTTCCCCACTTGACTATTTCTGACACTCTGACAGCTAAACTATTCTATCTTTTAAGTCCTCCTTGAGGACATTAATACAGCCTTATTTCCTACAATGCCCCAACAATCGCCCTTGAAATCTGGCTGAAATGATTTCCTTGCTGTCCCCTAAATATAGCTGCTCTTATAACATTCTTTTTCTCATGCACAAATATCCTATTCCCATCTGCCTAACAAAATCCTAATTATCTTTCATGGTCCTCCACAATTCCTTTCTAGGTTATAAAGCCTTCCTGACCACACCAGTCTCTACCCTGACCTCTTTTCAGAATTTCTGACCCAAGACAATATATAATTGAGTAACAAATATTAGACTTTAACATGTAATTCTCTACTATTTAATGTGGAATATACACCCAGGAAGATTGTTAGTTCCTCTTCCATGTCTCCTATGCAGCACCTACAACAGTGCTGAATATACAGATGGTCTTTAATAAATAACACTGCACTTGTTTAATAACCTTTTATTCTTCATTGTAGTTCCATCACAATCATCAACTGATGGAACTTAAGGCAATCCACTCGCATGATCTCAAAGCTTAAAAACATTCACTACTGCTTTACCCATCTAAACCTTGGTCTGTAACTTAACGTCAACAAATGCTGGCTTTTCTTATTTGGTCCTCTTTTCTTCACTGATCAATGCATCAACAGAGAACACCTGCTTCCTGTATAGTGCAACTCATACAGAGTTTCTAATGAAAATTACAGTTAAATTATAAGCCAAAATTTCCAGTAAGACAGTGAGCATTACTGGAGAGAGAGGGTCCTCAAGTGACCTTTACCCATGGAAGCGCCTTTATTATCAGACTTTTAAAATTTTTTATTTTTTGGTGCTTTCCTCTTTATCAATGTGCCTGCTACCTCCCATGCTCCCAATTTCAGTCCCTTCCATCTACACACAAAGTAGAAGGTAGTGAAAGGAAGGGATTGTTGGGGTTCTGAGACCCTTGGGTAGTTAAAAAGGGAAGAGAAACCAAAACAATCATTGGATGTGACAGAGACTGACACTCAAGAAATCTAAAGCAGGGGCCAGCCCCATGGCATAGTGGTTAAGTTTGGTGCAGTCTGCTTTGGCAGCCTAGGTTAAGATGCCGAGCATGGACCTACACCACTTGTCAGCCATGCAGTGGAGGCAACCCACATATAAAGTGGAGGAAGACTAGCACAGGTCTTAGCTCAGGGCTAATCTTCCTCAAGCCAAAAACAAGAGAGGAAGATTGGTAACAGATGTTAGCTCAGGGGTAATCTACCTCAGTGGGGGGGTGGGGGGGGAGAAATCTAAAGCAGAGTTGCCTACCTGATGAGCTGCTTCAAGGGGTATCAGGATAGTTTACCTCTATCAATGGTTCCCAAATTTTAGCGCAGAATTACTCAAGGTGCTCAAGATTCATTTTCAGGAGACCACCTCCAAAAACTGTCAGGGAATAGGCCTTGGAATTTGCATTTTGGACAAACATTCCAACGGCCTCCGATAATAGGTGATCCATGTGCCAGATTCTGAAGTGAAAACCACTCATCTTTATATATAATATTTACATCAAAACTTATGTTTCATTCCACTGGTAACGGAATGGTTCAGAAAAAGTATCCTCAAAAGTGAAACAGCTGACCACACTATCAAAGAGGCAGCCTTAGGACACTGGTGAACACCCTTAGTTCATCCAAATCTATTTAATGAAAGTAAATACCCAGTTCTTTAATAATATTCAGTGCTTGAATAAAATATGAATATTGTATCTGGTTTGTTAATCCAGAAAGAAACAAAAACTTATTACTCAATGAGAACTATCTGAGTTCTGGTTGTCGGAAAAATTTGCTCTTCTGTTTATAGGACTGTGGATGGTCATGATCCTCAGCAATGCATCTGTGATGAAGAACAAGAGCTTACACCAGTGATTCTAAATCAGGGGCAATTTTTCCCCCAGGGAATTTCTGGCAACGTTGGGAACCATTTTTGTCACAATTGTAAGGAGAGAGGTACTACTGGGATACTGCTAAACATCCTATAATAAACAGGAAAGCTCTCTCCACCCGAAAAGGAATTATCTAGCTCAAAATGTCAACAATACTAAGGTTGAAAAATTCTGGCTTACACCATACAATCTAGTACAGTCAATGCCCTGTGGGAATCAGCGGGCATCACATATTAGAGAAAAAAGAAAAGGCAGCTAAACAAACATTTTTACAACCAAAGATGTTTCCTAAATGTACTATAGCCCTCAACATGCTAGAAACACTGGACAGTATTCCATAAGCCATCTCTAAAGTATAAGATTGACTAAAGTCTGTCATACTAATATTATCTGAAGCAACAGTTTAACCTCTCATTTTAGGAATAAGCTAATGAGATTTTAAAAGAACACACTACAAATGCCTAGCTGTACCCAATTTTATGGACTGAATCGTATCCCCCAAAATTCGTATGTCGAAGCCTGAAACCACAGTATGACTGTATTTGGAGACAGGATGTTTAAGGAGATAACTAAGGTTAAATGAGGCCATAAAAGTAAGACCCTAACCTAATACAGCTCATGTCCTTAGAAGAGGAAAAGATATTCGAGACTGATCTCTGTGCACGCAGAGAAAAGGGTATGTGAGGACACAGAGAGAAGGCACTATCTGCAAGCCAGGAAGAGAGGTCTCACCAGAAATCCAATTTTCTAGCACCTTGACCTTAACCTTCTTGCCTCCAGAACTGTCAAAGAACAAACTTCCGTTGCACAAGCCACCCAGTCTATGGAATTTTCTTATGGCAGTACAAACAGACTAACCCACCCAGAAAGACCTGGGGTATGGGCAATCATTGGTAATTTTCAACCCCAAGTGAGTCTAACATATCACCAGTGTTCAGAACCACTCCTCTAATACCACAGTGTAATCCTAAACATGCTAGAAAGAACACGCTGCTCAGAAGAATTCTAAGATTCCCCAAGATAAACACTAAAAAGATGCATAGAATACAATCAACTGTTTCCTCCCACTATCTTTTAGAACCTAGAGATAACATCATGTCACCTTCAAAATCTTTTGGCATTTCATCCATTTTCTGAGCTTTGTTTTTGGCAACATACATGTAAATAATGAGTTATAGTCACTGTGTAGAGATGTAAACTCAAAAGGTAAACAGAATGAACACACTACAACGTGGACAGACCTTGAGGGCACTATGCTAAATGAAATAAGTCAGACAGAGAAAGACAAATCAGTATGATCTCACTTATGTGTGGAATCTAAAAAAAGGAGTCAAAAGGTATAAACTTCCAGTAATAAAATAAATAAGTCACGGGGACATAATGAACAGCATGGTGACTACAGTTAATAATACTGTATGGCAGATTTCAAAGTTGCTGAGAGAATAGATCTTAAAAGTTCTCATCACAAGAAAAAAATTTTTATAACTATGTATGGTGACAGATGTTAACCAGACGTCTTGTGGTGATCACTTCGCAATATATACTGAGTCACTATGTTGTACACCTGAAAACTAATATGTTATACGTCAATTACATCTCAATTAAAAAGAAAGAATGAACAGACACTGAAACAACTGAATGGGATCAATTATTTCTTCTTACAGTACAGAAGATGAAGCTCCAGGAAGAAACCAATTCCTAGTTCACCATCATCTTCTCTTTACAGTCAAAAGCGTAAGTCCACCAGAATTTTTTTTAACCAGGTTTACACACATAAACTAAAGTTCACCAGACTGCATCATTGTAAGATGGAGTTAAGAAAAATAAAATTCTTTTAAAAGAAGTATACGCATTTGCACATAAACTTCAAATGAAAATCAAGTTAAAAAATGGTCATACCTGGTAAAGTCTGGTGGAACAGGAGTAGTAACAAAGGATGCCATAGGCTTTCGATGAACTTGCTGAAACATCATGAGAATTTCTGAGCTCTTAGATATCAACTCACTCTTACTACAAGACCGCAACTGTGTGAGGAAAAAATTTATCTGAATAAACAAAATTATTATTCATTGGCACCTCAAAATTCTTAATAAGGAAGGAAAATAGAAATTATTCTGGTTATATACTGGAAAAATGAGATAAAAATAGAATGACTTTTATTTTTTTTTAAGATTTTATTTTTCCTTTTTCTCCTCAAAGCCCCCCAGTTCATAGTTGTATATTTTAGCTGTGGGTCCTTCCAGTTGTGGCATGTGGGATGCCGCCTCAACATGGCCTGATGAGTAATGCCATGTCTGCGCCCAGGATCCGAACCAGTGAAACCCTGGGCTGCTGAATCGGAGCACAGGAACTTAACTACTCAGCCTCGGGGTCGGCCCCCTAGTCATGAATCACTTAATGACGGGAATAAGTCCTGAAAAATGTGTCGTTAGATGATTTTGTTGATGTGTGAATATTAAGATGATATAGCCTACAATCTATCTAGGCTTTATAGTACTAATCTTACAGGATCACATTCATATATGCAGTCCATCATTGACCAAAACATCTTTATGCAGCACATAACCATAATCAAATTTTGCTATTCATACTTAGGTCTTTAACCCACCTGGAACTGAGTCTCGTGTATGGTGTAAGATGAAGATCGAATTTTATTTTATTTTATTTTTAAAGATAGGCACCTGAGGGGGCCGGCCCTGTGGCCGAGTGGTTAAGTTCACATACTCTGCTTTGGCAGCCCGGGGTTTTGCCAGTTCGGATCCTGGGCGCAGACACGGCACTGCTTGTCAGGCCATGCTGAGGCGGCATCCCACACGCCACAACTAGAATAATCCACAATTGAAAATATACAACTATGTACTGGGGGCCCTCGGGAGAAAAAGGAAAAATAAAATCTTAAAAAAAGAAAAAAAGAAAACCTTATGATCATCTCAAAACATGCAGGAAAAGAATTAGACAAAATCCAACACTCACTCCTAATGAAAACGCTCATCAAATATAAATAAAAGAAAATTCCTAAACCTGATAAAGGACATCTGCAACGAACCCACAACTAACATCATACTTAAATCTACATTACACTGGAAGTTCTGACCAGGAAAACCTGACAAGAAAAAGAAACAAAAGGCAGCAAATCAGAAAGAAAACTGTTTTTATTCAGAGATGACAAGACTATCTATAGGCAATCCAAGGTATTTACAAAATAGTTACTGGAACTAATAAATGAATTTAGCAAAATTGCAGGATATAAGATCAATATACAAAAATCAGTTATACAGCCACAAGAAATCAGAAATTAGAGGCCAGCCCTGTGGCCGAGTGGTTGAGTTCGCGTGCTCCACTTCGGCGGCCCAGGGTTTCGCCGGTTCGGATCCTGGGCGCAGACACGGCACCGCTCATCAGGCCACGCTGAGACAGCGTCCCACACGCCACAGCTAGAAGGACCCACAACTGAAATATGCAACTATGTACTGGGAGAATTTGGGGAGAAAAAGCAGAAAAAAAAGAAGATTGGCAACAGTTGTTAGCTCAGGTGCCAATCTTTAAAAAAATTAATTAAAAAATAAAAAAAGAATAAAAAAATCAGAAAGTAAAATTTTAAAAAACCATTTATATCCCACAACTAGGAGGACCTGCAACTAAGATATACAACTGTGTACGGGGGGTTTGGGAGATAAAGCAGAAAAAGAGAAAAAAGATTGGCAACAGTTGTTAAAAAAAACCATTTATAACATCAAAAATTCTGAAAAACTAAATAAATCTGAGAAAAGATGGGAAAAACTTCTACCCTGAAAACTAGAAAACATTGCTGAGAAAACGTATAGAAGATCTAAACAAATGGAATTTTCTTCGTGAAAGGAAGATTCAGGATTATTAAGATGTCATATCTTCCCAAATTAGTCTATAGATCCAATGCAATTCCAATCAAAACCCCAGAACCTTTTTTGGTAGAAATTAACAAGCTGATTCTAAAATTCGTAAGAAAATGCAAAGAATCTGGAATAGCCAAAACAACTCTGTAAAAAAGGGCAAAGTTGGAGAGCTAACCCTTTTATTATAAAGCTACGATACTCAAAATGGTGTAGCACAGTCATGCGTTGCTTAACAACGGGGATATATTCTGAGAAACGGGTCATTAGGCGATTTCCTCATTTGGCAAACATTACAGTGTCCTTACACAAACCTAGATGGTGTAGCCTATTGCTCCTAGGCTACAAACCTGTACAGCAAGTTACTGCACTGAATGCTGCAGGCAACTGTAACACAATGGTATTTGTGTATGTAAGCATATCTAAACATAGAAAAGGAACAGTAAAAATACCACACAAAAGATAAAAAATGGTTTGCCTATTTGGGCACTTATCATGAACAGAGCTTGCAGGACTGGAAGTTGTTCCGGGTGAGTGTGTGCGTGAATGGTGAGTGAATGTGAAGGCCCAGGACATTACACTACTTTACACTCCATAAACACTGTACACTCAGACTAAATTAAATTTATAAAAAATATTTTTTATAAAAAATTACAGGGGCCAGCCCCGTGGTGTAGTGGTTAAGTTTGCGCACTCTGCTTTGGTGGCCCAGGGTTCACTGGTTCAGATCCTGGGTGTAGACCTATACACTGGTCATCAAGCCACACTGTGGCAGCATCTCACATAGAACTAGAGGATTTACAACTATGACATATAACTACAAACTGGGGTTTCAGGGAGGAAAAAGAAAAAGAGGAAGATAGGCAACAGATGCTAGCTTAGAGCCAATCTTCCTCACCAAAAAGTTATAAAAATATGAAAAACGATAAAAAATATTTTAACAGAAAACTATGAAATTATAAAAATATTTTTCTTTCCTCAATAATAAATTAATCTTAGCTTACTGTAACGTTTTTACTTCATAAACAAAAAAATTTTTTTAATTTTTTGGCTTTTTTGCAATAAACACAACTTAAAACACAAACACATTGTACAACTATACAAAAATATCCTTTCTTTATATCCTTTTCTATAAGCTTTTTCCTACGTAAAAAAGTTTTTACCTTCTAAACTTTTTTGTTAAAAATTAACACAAACACATACATCAGTCTAGGCCTACAAAGGGTCGGGATCATCAATAGCACTGTCATGCACCTTCAACTCTTGTCCCACTGGAAGGTCTTCAGGGGCAATAATACACATGGAACAGTCATCTCCTATGATAACAGTACCTTCTTCTGGAATATCTCCTGAAGGACCTGCCTGAGCCTCTTCCTGAGGAGGTGTTACTATTTTCAGAAATATGCCCATGGTGGTTTGCTTCTTTTTTTCGTCACAGATTTGCATGTAAGCAGATAATGCACCATGAATATTCCTCACTATTAATGAAAACCTTTTGCTGTTGGGGTGCATGTTTTCAAACTTTTTAAGGAGCCTAACGATGTCTGCAAAAGGTTCTGCCAAACTCTTCACTGTGAATTTTCTCGGCAGTTCTTTTTTCTTCTCCTGCAGTTTCCTTTTCTCCTGCCTCTTCTTCAGCTATGTGTTCTTGTTCCAGTTCCAACAACTCCTCATTAGCCAATTCCTCGGAAACTACCTCTAGGAGCTCCTCAACATCACCCTCATCCACACTGAGGTTCAAGTTGTTTGCCATCTCAGTTACAGCCTTGTTGATTTCTGTAACCTCCTCGTCCTTGGCAAGTCCTTTGAAGTCACTGACAAACCTCTTGAGTATCTTCTTCCAGATATCATTCATACACTCCTTGGTGACATCATCCCAAGGCCAAGCAAAGTTCTTGATGCAATCATAGATTCTGTAATCCTTCCAGAACTGCACCAGTGTCTTCTCAGTGTCTTCCTCAGTTGCAGCAATAGCCTGGGCAAAGGACCTCCTCAATTAGTAAGCCTTAAAAGCTGCTGTAAGTCCTTGATTCATTAGTTGGCCCAAAGAGGTTGAGTTCAGAGGGAGAAACACTGCTCTGACACTGGGATGAAGATCTCAATCGGAGCACTGGGAGCATTAGCACCAAGAAGCAAAATCTTGAAAGATATGTTATTCACCAAACACTACTTCTCCATCTTATTGGCAGAGAAATTCAGGAGGGCATCTTGGAAGAGGAGTTGGGTCATCAAAGACTTATTATTGCTCCTGAAGTACACTGGTAGTGTGTGCTTACTGATATGCTTGAAGGCCCTGGGGTTCTCACTGAGCCAGATTACAAAGGATTTTAATTTGTAGCCTGCAACCCTGCTGATTGTTATTCTGTCCTTAAAAGCCTTGAAACCTGGCACTGACTTGGCCTCCTTATGGATGAAAGTCCTCTCGGGCATCTGTTTACAGAATAAGGAGGTTTCACCATATTGAATACTTGCTCTGGCAAGTAATTTTCCTCCACAGTCAGCTTATCTAGAGTTTCCAAAAATTCTTCAGCTGCCTTCACATCAGCACTCACAGACTAACTTTCACATTATGTAAAGAATAATGATTCTTGAATCGTTTAAACCACCCAGAGCTGGCAGTAATTTCAACATCAAGTTGAGTCTAGTCTTTTCTTTCAATGCTGCAAACTAACTTTTTGCTCTGGCCATGACTGTCATCATGCTGAGAAGGATATACTTCTACATCTGGTCTTCAATCCAGGTCATTAGAAGTTTCTCCATATCTTGGGGGCTGGCGCTGTGGCCGAGTGGTTAAGTTCGCGCACTCTGCTTTGGCAGCCCAGGGCTTCACTGGTTCAGATCCTGAGTGCGGACATGGCACTGCTCGTCAGGCCACGCTGAGGCGGCATCCCACATACCACAACTATAAGGACCCACAACTAAAAATACACAACTATGTGCTGAGGGGCTTTGGGGAGAAAAAGGAAAAATAAAATCTTTAAAACAAAAACAAAAAGAAGTTTCTCCATGTCTGATATAGGCCCTTCTCAAGTTTTTCTTAGTCTCATTGCCTCCAATGAAGCAGATCCTTTAACAGCTCCCATCATTTTGTTCTTGTTCTTCAAGATCACAGCTATGGTGGAATGGGACATGCGTGACTGGCAAGCAATAACCATTACTGATTTTCCACCTTCGTAGCCCTTAATCCTTTCTAATTTTGTTTCCAGGTCAATCACTCCAACATGGCTTCTTACTAGCAACGCTAGGGGTGTTGTATGTTTAGGGGCCATAATGAAGAAAACAAGAGATTAAATCAAGCACAAGAGAGGCTAGCCTGGTGGCATAGTCGTTAAGTTTGCATGCTCCGCTTTGGCGGCCTGGGGTTCACATCCCAGGCACAGACCTACACACTGCTTATCAAGCCACACTATGGTGGCGTCCCACATACAAAATAAAGGAAGACTGGTGCAAATCTGGCAACAGATGTTAGCACAGGGCCAATCTTCCTCAAAAAAAAAACACCAAAACTCAAATAAATAAAAATCAAGCACAAGAGAAAATGATGCAATCAAGAGATGCGGTAAACACAAGATGTATGAGGTTGCTGCTGGTGGAACACAACATACTGTTTTAGCTTTATTTTTATAAGGAGAAAGAGTACATTCTAAAATAATAAGTACACTATAGTAAATACATAAACCAATAACAGAGTCGTTTATCAAATATTATGTACTGTACATAACTGTATGTGCTATACTTTTATAGGACTAGCAGCACAGTAGGTTTGTTTACACCAGCATCACCACAAACATGTGAGTAATGTGTTGCAATACAACATTATGATGATGGCACTAGGCAATAGGAATTTTTCACCTCCATTATAATCTTAGGGGACCACCATTGTATATGCGGTCTGTCGTTTACCAAAACATCATTATGCAGCATGACAAACTGACAGAAAAATCAATCAATGAGTGGACTAGAATAGATTCCAGCAATAGAGCAATGCATATGTGGACAACAATTCTTTCAAAAGATGCAAAGGCAATTCAGTGAAGAAAGGCTGGTCTTGAACAAATGGTGCTGAAACAACTAGATAACCATATATGAAAACAAACAAAAACAAAAAAACCACGTTGGATCCATACCTCATATACAAAAACAACTCAAAATGGAACACAGACCTAAACGTAAAATCTACAACTACAAAACTTCCGGAAGAAAATATAAAAGAAAATCTTTGTGATCTTGGGTTAGATAAAGATTTCTTAGCTATGACACTAAAAGAACAAATTGATAAGTTACACTTCATCAAAATTAAAAACTTCTCTTCAAAAGACACTTTAAAGAGAATGAGAAGACAAGCCACAGACTTAAAATATTTGCAAAGCATATATCTAATAAAAAACTTATATCCAGTTCTTTATATAAAGAACTCCGAAAATTCAACAAGAAAACAAGTCAATAAAATGATGGGCAAAAGGTTTGAACAGACACTGCAACATAGATATATGGATGACAAATAAGTTCAAGAAAGGATACTTAACATCATTAGTTATAAGGCAAATGCAAATTAAAAACCCTAATGAAATACTATACACTAAGTGAAAATAGCTAAAATTCAAAAAATTGACTATATCATGTGTGGACAAGAACGTGGAGAAAATGGGACTCTCGTAGACTACGGCTGGAAATATAAAATGGTACAATCATTTCAGAAAACAGCTGCCAGTGACTAAAAACTTATTCATACATCTACCATTTGACCCAGCCATTCTATCTTAGGTGGACTCAAGAGAAGAAGAAATATATATCCACGTATAGATCTGTCCCTGAATGTTCACTGCAGCTTTATTTGTAAAGGCCAAAAACAAGAAGCAACCCAAATAGCCATAAACAGTTGAATGGAAAAACAAATTCTGGTACATACATACACTGGAATACTACTCAACAATTAAAAAGGAAAGAACTACTGATACTATGAACAAATCACAAAATAATTTTGCTCAGTGAAAGAAGTCAGACATAAAACAAGTACATAACATATATGATTCTAATTACATAAAACTCTAGAAAACACAAACTTATCTATGACAGAAAGCAGATTGGGGTTGTGTGGAAACAGTAGTGTGGGGAGAAGCAGGAAAGTTTACAAAGAGGAACAAAGAAACTTTGGGGGCTAATGCATATGTTCACCATCTTGACCTGTGCTGGTTTCACAGGTGTATATGTTTGTCAAAACTCATTAAATTATACACTTTAAATACATGTAGTTTATTTTTTGTCAATTATTCCTCAACAAAGCCACTAAAAAGAAAAGAACATACATCCTCGGATTCCCACCCTACTCCATCATAGCTACTTAAAATTTGCTCTATAACACCAGCAGAAGGCTGCCAGTTTATTCTCTGGATGGGATAAAATAAAGTCTCTGGACTAGCGGAACAACATGACCAATTAAGAATGGATGCACTGGGGCTGGCCCGGTGGTGCAGCAGTTAAGTGTGCATGTTCCACTTCGGCAGCCTGGGTTTCGCCGGTTCAGATCCCGGGTGCGGACATGGCACCGCTTGGCAAGCCATGCTGTGGTAGGCGTCCCACATATAAAGTAGAGGAAGATGGGCACAGATGTTAGCTCAGGGCCAGTCTTCCTCAGCAAAAAGAGGAGGATTGGCAGCAGATGTTAGCTCGGGGCTAATCTTCCCACCCCCCAAAAAAATGGAAGCACTGAAAAGTAAGAGTATTTAAATAAATATATATGTACTGAATCCTACTAGCCAAACCATGAATGAAGTATAAAGATTAAATAAAAATATTTTCAGACATGCAGTCTCGAAAAATTTATTCTGATTATCCTTTCAGGAAAGTTACAGGAGGAAATGTGACACCAAAACAAACACGTAAACAAAAAGAGTGGAAGCCATGGGAATCAGGAGACATGAAATTCAACCCAAGAAAGAAATGAAGAGAATACCCAAGATGATAATTTAAGAGAAAAGTCCCAGAAGACAGCTGTGTATTAGGCATAGAGAGGAATTCAAGAATTCCAAAAATGAAATTTAAAACAGATAAGATTTCAGTGACACTACACATTTTATTTATTCATTCACTATGTGCTTCAACCCCACCTACCCCAATCTAAATTATAAACTCTATGAGAACAGACTGACAAAATGACAGTGCCATTTTGTCCACTGCTGTATTTGAAACATCTAAAAGAATACCTTCTATCTATTTGGTACTTAAAAATTTCCTTAATAAATAAAAACGTTAATTTTAGCATAAGAATCACTATATAAAAGTAACTGGCACTTAACATTCTATCTCAAAGCCACCACGTAAGTCCCAATGGCAGAAGATCTTAATCTTTTATAGATTTACAGATTCCTATGGATTATTCCCAGTAAAAACAATTCCATTCTTACAAAACAGAGTAAATCTTAATAATTTCAACTAGTTCCCAACAATGATGGAGAAAACTTGAAAGAATCAGCTGATTTCTATTTCATAAAGATCCCTAGTATAGCATATAGATCCCCAGATCTTTCGATCTTATATAGTCTCTGTTAAAAAGAAAAAAAACAAAAGTTTAAAGCATATGGACAAAAAAAGATAAAGATTTTATTTCACTGCATTTAATATTTCATCACCTGGTGCTCTACCTCCTGAAGTAAGGATTCCAACAGCTCTGTTTCTTGTGTTAGAGATGTCTTCTGACCTATTTAAAAATGACAAACACCAACATTCAGGCTCATTATTGGTTTAAGAATGAAATTAACTCACTGAATATATTCAATGACAAGGAACCAATTTCACGTAAGCAAAACTTCATTATAGCTACTCTAAAACATTTTCCCGGAGCTTTAAGGGGTTGAACCTAATGTTGCAGTAACTTTGACAAGAGGATTTCAGAACTAACCCTAACTATAGTTTTACATAAAATGCAATTTAGGTTTATTAAATTCACCTAAGAACTATACAATGACAATATACTTTGTGAAATTAATGTTATTGCTTCCTCTAAAAGGAATATAGTAAGATCTAGGAAAGCAAGTTTTTATCAGTCAACTAATCTGAAATACTTCCTCCCCAAAATTTAACTGTGGCTTAAAAAGAGAAATGCACCAGCTGGTCCTGTGGGATAGTGGTCAAGTTTGGCATGTTCCACTTCGGCAGCCCAGGTTTGCGGGTTCAGATCCCAGGCGCAGACCTACGCCACTCATCAGCTATGCCGTGGTGGCAACCCATACATAAAATAGAGAGAGATTGGCACAGATGTTACCTGAGGGCTAATCTTCCTCAAGCAAAAAAAGAGGAGGATATAACTAGCTCAGAGCAAATCTCCTTCAGCAAAAATAAAAAAAAAAAGAAGAAGAAGAAGAATGTAGTAAGTAGGCCAGATGTTTACGTTAAATGTCAGCAAAAGGTATGTTCATTGAACATAAGAACCTGTAAAGAAGAATGCTCAGAGAGGAAAACAGTCTCAAGAAGCTGGAAACACATACAGGGATAAATGAATTACTATTATGGAAATTATTCTTCCAGAAAAGGAAGAAAGAACCTCATTTACATGTTTAAAAAAAAAAAGACAATACAGGCAAGCTTGCCAAATCAGATCACTTTCTTTAGAAATCAGTGTGAAGAGCTGGAAGCATATCTCATGAGGTTAGCAGAAGTTGTATCGATTTGGAGTAATGTTATTTGATACAGAGTGACATTTAATAAGTGAAAATTTTTTTTTGACCAATCTTTTCCTAGCCTGTAACAACTCACCAACATTGGGGTTCAAAGCACCATGTATCCCGGCAGCAGAGAAAAACACTCACCCATCAGTGTTATAAGCTTATTCTTTAGCTGTGTGTCTAACCGTGCAATCATCATCTCCACTGCATTCCTAATTTCCCGAACACGTTCATCTTTTGCATTTCTTACAGCTTCCACATTTCTTTCCTAGAAGATAAACAGGTAAAAAAATTTTAATTGAAGAATTTTTAAAACAGAAGCAAACTGACATTAATGCAACCACTGTAATTATTCTTAAAGTCAGTTGATTTCCACTTTAAAAACTGTAAGCCAATAACACTTTTTCATTGTTTATATATCACAGAAAATTCATGGCTTTAAAAAATTGTTCACTGAACTGAATCAGGAAAAACAATTTTTTTTTTTAAAGATTTTATTTTTCCTTTTTCTCCCAAAGCCTCCGGTAGATAGTTGTGTATTTTTAGTTGCGGGTCCTTCTACTTGTGGCATGTGAAATGCCACCTCAGCATGGCTTGATGAGCAGTGCCATGTCCGCGCCCAGAATTCAAACTGGCGAAACCCTGGGCCACCAAAGCGGAGCACGCAAACTTAACCACTCAGCCATGGGGCTGGTCCCAGGAAAAAATTTCTTAAAAATAAACAATTAAGGCATAATAAAGGACACGATATTTTGACAGTTGAACAGAAAGATAGGTAATTAGAAAAAATTGATTTAGGTAACACACAAAACACATACTCAAAGCCCCAATCATAACTATGATAGGAAACCACTATTCAAAAACAAAAAAATTTACTAAAGCCAATTTACATCATGCAAAAACCCAAAACAAATGGAAATTCTGAAAAACCAGATGTAATCTAGTTTGTAACAAAGTTTTTAATTTTTTTAGAACACACAAAAAATTAGGGTTTTCAAAGATCACAAAGTACATATAGATTTCGTGATAGCATACCACCAAAAATAAAAAGTACTCTTTCCTGTACTTACTATTATTATAAATACAAGAAGTAAGAATCTCAACCTAGAACACCCTCCCTAATGACCTAATTATAATATTGCCAAGAGAATAGAAAAAAAGGTACTTAGATGAAGGCTAAATAGAAGCCAACTGTTTATATTCCAAAATGACATTGTAGGTAGCATACATGCAACTCAAAAAACACTACTTTCTGTATAAAGAATGTAATAAATGATGATTTGAATCCTGATTCCTGAAGGGGTAAAATAAAGAAGACATCTTAAGTTAGGAATGGTCCACAAACCTCAGTAACAGCTATCATTCTGGCATCCTTAAACAAAATATATCGCAAGTATATTTACTACTTAAATGTTTGAAGCTTATCACATTTTCCCATAGAGATCATATTACAAGTTGGTAAATAGCTCATCAAAGGTGTCTAACCCATACAGTATCTAAGAGTAGTGTTAAATATTACTCTTTCAGTTCTAACTCAGGGCATCAGAAATAGATCATTTCTTGGTAGCAGAAACTCTCCCAAAAGCAGGGGTTCCAAAGAATGCACGACTTAATGACTTTGTAAAAGTCAATACTGACTCTATTTAGGAGTCAATTACTGACTCTAACACACAGGCTTATTCAGCTCATTAGCTGACTATTTCTGCGTAAGAGGAGGCAATTCTCCACCTTCAACTATGGAACAAGCCAAGGGTTTGGATGCAAATTCCTCAGCTAGTTTGAAGTGGATGAGAATGACTATATCTTATCAAATTTTCAAATCTTGATTTCAATATGAGATTTAAATTATAAAAAATATAATTACATATTATATATTAAAGACTATACAAAGGATAACGATCTTTTACTAGCAGTCTTACCACTTCTTGAACTAAGCTGATCAATTCCATGAGACGCCGACGAAGTTTGGCTACCTCTTCGTTCACTTTAGTAACATGCTGCTCATAAATTTCTGCCAAAGGTTTAAAGGTATGTCCACCATGCTATTTAAATTCATAAGAGTAGTTTTAGAACATTTTCATATATCTTATCTATATTTACATTCCTTTATTAATACTCAATGGACTCTAATAAACTAGTAAATGTTTTCAAATGTATTTTATCTTTCCGGCTGCCGTTACTTTGTTAAAACAGGTCAGACCTTGCTTAAAATCACTTGGCCCATATAGGAAATCCTTCAAGATTGTAGATAAAGGATTTTAGCAGAATGTTTACACTTAATCTAGAAATCTTCATTCATTAGAAAGAAACAAAATCCTTAACCTTGGCCCAAACCACCTGACACAACCTTATCTGCCACTTTTCTCTTGGTCAGCACTAGCCTTCTTCCATGTCCTCAAACTTCCCACCAGGCCTTAACAAAAGTAACTCCTTCTTATTCAGAAATTCTCCTTCTTCATCCTCCCTCCCCAAACTCTCCATCTCTTCATTTCTACTCATCCTTTGAATCATCCTAATATCTATCACAACAACAATTAAATACAAAACTAGACGTTTGAGATCTGTCTTGTTCATCACTGAACCCCCTATCTCTAGCACAAGTGAATAAATTAGAAAGACCCATGGTACACTATTAGCAAAAGCAATGAACCTATTCTCATGTCATGAACAGTTACTGTGGAGACAGAACACCTGCACAAATCAGCCTCACGAATCCAGTTGTATTCAAAGAACAATTTTTTAGAGCTAACAACCTATAATCAGTTTTCTACCCAATTTTAGTACTGTAATTTATAACTCACTTGATTGGTAAATAGAACTTAAATTTCTATTTTAAGAAACTTCCTGTAACAGAGAAGTTCTTATTAGAACTGTCTTGTTCAACCAAGGCATCCAGTCATGGTCTCTAAGAGAAAAAAGATGTGAACCATGGAAAAGAATGTTTCCATTGCTTCTTACAAAATCCATTTATTTAAGTAAACAAATCGTGGAAACTTAATTTTTTCTAGTCAGCACATTAGTATTCAAACTCTAATAGAAAGCTCTCTGAATTGAGCTCTACTCAACCAACTTGCCTGCCATTCTCTCCCTAAAACATGCTGACTGATGCCCAAAGTAGGATCAATTCCCATTGCTAACAGGGACCTCTACATGTCTACCCACTTCTGCTCCCACTATGACTAAACTTTCCCCACCAAGACTCTACTGTGTTTATTCTCAAACCTACTTATGCTAATTCTATTTATTACTGGAAGTATATAATTTAAATAAATATTAATTAAACAATAGAACATGACTTTAAAATGAAAAGCTGTCTCTAGGTAAACTAACTTGCATGTTTTAAACTTGATAAAGGTAGGTTACCTTAAAAAACTACTTTTGAATTAGACTGAAAAAAAGAAAATAAAAAGTGAATCATAAAATCTAGACGTTTACATTCATATTGCGAACATTTTTCATTTCACAAATGTCTAAAGTTGTTCCACTTTAAAGAAACCAAAACTGGAAATCTTGGTCAGGACATCAGATCAACTGACACGTATGTAATCAAAGAAAAGACCTTCATCCTACAACAAAAGATTTGCAAATGACTACACATTTTATAGGTTTTCCACTGAAATATAATATTTATGTAAGGGGTACACATCCTACATGAAAATTTCCCATAAAAGAAGTTTTTCTGGAATAAGAACAGGTACAATACTTTCTGCCAAAAAGCAGATGCATTTAATTTTCATTCGATAAACAGAGTAAAACGACATTATTTTCTACCTAAATCAAACAAGTACTCTAGTGTTTTCTAGTCTCTAACTAAAAATAACATACTAAATTTGTTCTGCTCACCATTCCTCCCCAAAGTGCACACTGATGGCAGATACACTTCTTACAAGTCCAGCAAAATACACTAAGTTTTTCATGGTGATTTTCACATCTATATATCATGAAAAGAAAACACAGTTATAAATTAAATTAAATTTGAACATAATTAGCTCAACAAATTCCTAAGTTTGGGCAAATACATCAGTCAATTTTATGTTTATCTCAGAAAAGTATTCCACATCTTCTATGAAATAAGCTAAAAAAATACATGCGACACAATTTTTAAATTTTATTTATTTATTTATTTTATTGAGGTAACATTGCTTTATAAAAACATGGAATGCTTCACAAATTTGCACATCATCCTTGCGCAGGGGTCATGCTAATCTTCTCTGTATTGTTCCAGTTTTAGTATATGTGCTACTGAAGTTAGCACCACAATTTTTTAAGAATATTGTTTTCATTAATCTATAAGGACTTTACAATCACATAAAAAATGAAGACTAGTTTCTAAATAAAGTACAAATATAACATCATTTCCTAGCATCATTATAGATGATAAATTCTATCCTACTACTACATTTTGAGCAAATCAGATTATGTGGCTATACCTACTTGAGTATGTATGCATGCACAAATACTTCTCCTACATGTGGCCAATGCCAACAATAATCAAGACATGAGATTAACTGCACGATGTTATACTAGATCTTCATAAGCGAACAACTCAATTTTAAAAATTTTCCCTTAAACTAGATATCCACATGCAGAAGAATGACATTGGACCTGGTTATGAACTGAATTGTGTCTCCCAACAAACTCCTATGCTGAAGCCCTAATGTAACTGTATTTGGAAATAGGGCCCGTAAAGAGGTAAGGAAGGTTAAATGAAGTCATAAAGGCAGAGCCCTAACTCAACCAGACTGGTGTCCTTACAAGAAGAAAACGTGATGCCAAGAGTGTACACACAAAGAGAAAAACCTAGGTGAAGACACAGGGAGAAGGAACTGTATCCAAGGAGAGAGGCCTCACCAGCAAGCAACCATAGGAGGGCAAAAGGGGTGATTAGGCACAGCGTATGGTGATGGATGGTAATTAGTCTTTGAGTGTGAACATGATGTAATTTACACAGAAACAGAAATAATGATGTACACTTGACATTTACATAATGTTACAAAAGAAGAAAAGAAAAAAGAAAACAACCCTGACAATAGACTTCCAGCCTCCAAAACCATGAAAAAATAAATTTCTGTTGTTTAAGCCACCTAGTCTGTGCTATTCTTACAGCAGCCCCAGCAGATAAATACCTTCAGATTACATCATATATAAAAATTAACTTAAAATGGATCAAAGACCTAAACAAAAAACCTAAAACTATAAAACTCTCAGAAGAAAACACAGGGGAAAACCTACATGATATGGATTTGGCAATGATTTTTTTTTTCAGATTTTATTTTTTTCCTTTCTCTCCCCAATGTCCCCCAGTACATAGTTGTGTATTTTTAGTTGTGGGTCCTTCTAGTTGTGACATGCGGGGCGCTGCCTCAGCATGGCTTGATGAGTGGTGCCATGTCTGCGCCCAGGATTCGAATCAGCAAAACCCTGGGCCGCCGAAACAGAGTGCACGAACTTAACCACTCAGCCACGGGGCCAGCCCCTAGGAATGATTTCTTGAATATGACATCAAAAGCACACGCAACAAAAGTGGAAATAGACAAGCAAGACATCAAAATTTAAAACTTCTGTACATCAAAAGACACAACAGACAGAGTTGAAAGAGAAATCTATGAAATGGGAGAAAATACTTGCAAATCTTGTATCTGAAAAAGCCTCAATATACAAAATATATAAAGAACTCCTACACCTTAACAACAAAAAAACCACAAAACATAAAAAAATTAAAATATGGGCAAAGGACCTAAACAGACATTTCTCCAAAGATGTACAAACAGCCAACGAGCATATGAAAAGATGTTCAACATGCTACTCCTCAGGTAAATGCAAATCAAAACCACAATGAGATATTACCCCACACCCATTAGGATGGCTGTCATCAAAAAAACAGAAAACAAGTGTTGGCAAAGAAGTGGAGAAATTGGAACCCTTGTACACTCTCGGCAGGAATGCAAAATGGTGCAGCTGCCATGGAAAACACTATGGAGGATCCTCAAAATATTATAAACAGAATTACCACATAATCTAGTCATACCACTTCTGGGTATATATCCAAAAAAACTGAAAGGTCTACAAGAGATGAACACCCATGTTCACAGCAGCATTATTCACAATAGCCAAAAAATGGAAGCAATCTGAATGTTCATCAATAGAAAAACAGATAAACAAAATGTGATACATACACATCATGGATGATTTAATCAGTCCTAAAACGGAAGGAAATTCTGACATACGCTACAACATGAATGAACCTTGAGGATGTTATGAGAAGTGAAGAAAGGGAGTCACAAAAAGACAAATACTATATGATTTCACTTATGAGTATCCAGAGTAGTCAAACTTCTGGCAAAGGAAAATAAAATGGGGTTGCTGGGAGCTGGTGGGAGGGGAAATGGGGAGTTATTGTTTAATGAGTAGAGAGCTTCAAATATGCAAGATGAAAAAGTTCTGGAGACTGATTGTACAACAGTGTGAATATACTTAACACTACTGAACTGTATACTTAAAAATGCTAAAGACAGTAAATTTTGTTATATGTATTTTACCACCATTAATAAATTTTTTAATTTCTCTCTTGCCTATAAAGGAGACAGTGTCACATTCTTTTAAAAGGCTTTTCACTGATTAAGTACAATGAGTCAGAGAAAATATCTAAAATGGTTTACATTTTATATTTCTCACTTATAAGTAATCTGAATATCAAACAGGAAATTAATAAAAGTATGAAGAAATAGCACATTAGTTTCTGTCTGGAAGCTTGTTTAGCATGAGCTCCAAATTGTCAAATTTAAAATATAGCTTTTACAACATAGGAACTTTACCAGAACAATTCTTAATCAATGGCCTATATACACCTTCAGCAAACCTAAGGCGGGGCCAGTAGGCATCAAAAGGCAAAGAGATACACAAACTGTGTCAGTTCCACTCCTTTTACGAGAGGCTGAAATAAAAGAATCCAATCAAGAGTGAGAAGGGTCTCTCCAAATAGTGATACCCACATCACACCAGAGGAAAAATACTAAATATACTATATTTAGTTTCACCTATGAAACTAAAAGGAAACTTTTAATAGTGTCATTAAAATAACATATGGCAGAAATCTATGAAATACTTGAGTAAAGAAATTGAGGACATACTTGTCCTTTTCATTTTCTTCATGTTTGGTGAGACTGCAGAGTTGAAGAGTATCAAGCTGCTGTGTTACTTCTTCTGCCCAACGACAGTTTACTAGTTCTCGTAGTTGGAGTGGAGCACTGGAGAGAAAATGTATACATATATTCTAATTCAGGAATTCGACATTATATTCTAAGACACATTCCAAAGCTACACGTGAGGTGATGAATGTGTTAATTAACTCAATGGGGGGAATCCTTTCACAATGCAAACGTACATCAAATTATCACATTGTACACTTTATCTTACAATTTTACTTGTCAATATACCTCAGAAAAGCTGGGAAAAAAAAATCAATCAAGAAAAAATAAACACACTCCTCAAAGTAGAGCTCACAATCATATTCACACCATATTACTATTAAAATAATAAAGACACAATGAAAAGTATGCTTAGCAACTTCCTACACTAATGTATCATTTCCAAAAAAAAAATGTGAATAAGAAATCTTGGCAATTCAGATTTCAGAGAGAATTCTGAGTTCCTTAGTCTAAAGCTGTACTGTCCAAAATAACAGTCACTAGCCATATGTGACTATTTAAATAAATTCAAATTATTTAAAATTAAATAATGGGGCCTGCCCGGTGGCGCAGCAGTTAAGTTCGCCCGTTCCACTTCAGAGGCCCAGGGTTCGCCGGTTCGGATCTCGGATGCAGACATGGCACAGCTTGGCAAACCATGCTGTAGTAGGGGTCCCACATATAAAGTAGAGGAAGATGGGCATGGATGTTAGCTCAGGGCTAGTCTTCCTCAGCAAAAAGAGGAGGATTGGCAGCAGTTAGCTCAGGTCTAATCTTCCTCAAAAAAATTAAAAAATCAAAAATTAAAAATTAAATTAAATTAAACAAAAACAAAATTTCATTACACAGTAACACTAGACATACTTCAAGTGCTTAATCACCACATGTAGCTAGTGGCTACCGAACTGGACAGCAAAGCTACAGAACATTTCTATCATTACAGAAATTTCTATTTCATAGTGCTGGTCTTCTTAGAAGTTAAGATAAAAAAAGTGAACATGAAGAAAAATGGGCACAAGATACAAAGAGGTAATTTAAGAAAAAAGAAATATAAATAGCTAAAAACGTTTCAAAAGATACTCAGTTTCAAACATTTTTTTAAAAGTATGTTAAAAACAAAACACCATTTTTCATCTAGCAGAATGACAAAAAAATGAAAGTTTGGTAATATCCAGTGTTGGCAAGAATGTGAGGAAAAGGGGTTTTCATATCTATTATTAGGAATGTAAAATGGTAAAAAGTTTTCCTTCAAAGCAATTTGGCATCATTATTTGACATAACCAAAAGTGGAAACAACCTAAATGTCTCTCAATATAAGGATAAATAAATCAACATAGAGTCACATAATGGATTATTATTCAAACTTTTTTTAAATGACATATGTGTACATTCCATCAAGGAAGGTACCACTATATTTTACATGAAAAAAAACAAATAGCAAAATAGTATTATATCATTTCTGTGTTTTAAGAAAAAATTTTTATGTTTACATATCCATATAAACATAGAAAAATGTCCAGAAGAATAGACACCAAACCTGACAATCTCTTCTGAAAGTGTTATTTCACGAAAAGATTAGGTGGGGTGTATCAGAATCAGAAGCTTTTTTATTTTATATTTATCAAGACTATCTGGATTTTTTTAACCAGAAAACTTAAAAATTTTTAATTATAAAAGTTAAGAAGTTACACAATGATCTTCTATAAGAAGGCAAACTATGTAATGCATTCTACATAATTCAAAGCCAGGTACACTAGTCTGTATTTCTTAATCTAGACAGATTGCTTGTTTTCTCTTCAACTGTATTCAAAGAGGAGAAATACGGCAGATCGCAGAAAGAACTTTAGGAGTTCTATGACACACTGACCCCATCACCTTACTGTTTTGCAAATTCAAATAATCACAGCAAAACACTTACCGGCAGTGAGGACATTGAGCTCTCTGCTCTGTCAGCCAGCGCTAAGGAGATAAAAGAAATTAAGATTTTGATTGTAGAAACACCATTATTTTAATTTGTACATACTGAAATTTACATACCAAATTTAATGAGTTTAACGCTCTACTGCCTGCATATAGATACTTACAGCAGGCAATCTACTGTCTCCCTCTCATTATCATCGTGACAGGAACAAACTTTCAAAAGGACAGCACTCATCCCAAAATAGTTGTCAAGAAACTATTCTCTCATAGGAAAGAAAGTGATCCTCGGACTCTCTGGATCTCACAGGAAAGATGTGGATCATCTTCACAAAAAAATCATCATACTGTCATCACCACTCCCAAAAATAAACTACAGTGATGATTTACTTCTAACTAACCTACCATAAAATATCCCAGGAAGTTTAAGGTACTATTAAATTCCTTTCTTGAAAAGCAAACTAATCTTGAAGTATATACATTATGGATATACAAATTAGACCTAAATTTGAATAAGAAATACAGCAAAAATTTTTATGTCTTAATGGAGTTCTACAGTTCAGTAATTTAAAAATCTACATAACTTGGCTTCCTCATAATTATAAAAAGGTTTCACAAGAGAATAGTGTCTACTAAACCTCAAATTCTATTAATTTAATCCTTTTACTTATTACTGGATAGGGAGCAGTTTTATACCATGTATAAAGGAGATGCTAAGATTTTCCAAATACTTTTCCAAAAAACAATAGCTCTATGGTTAAATATTTTATGTTTTAACTGCCCCGTAAATAGGTTCAGAGATAAATAACTAACTATATAATCCTATACCAAGGTACTCCCATAATCTGTTATTTCTATTTATCCCTTTCTATTTCTTTAGAAGAATATGTGCTTTTACTTAAAGTCAAATAATCAATTCAGAAATAAAATTCCCAAGGAAAGCTTAAAAGGACAATAAAAGATTAAAGGTAATAGGAAAAAAGTACTTCACAGAAAAGAAAATAAAGTCGGAAAAAGAAAATAGATGGAAAAGGATTCCTCCATTCTTAACAACCTTCAACATTATTTCTTTGGTCCCTCGGCAAAAACAAGATTTGAGTCAGGTTTCTTCCCCTGAAACGGTGCTCTGCTAAAGTACAGCACCCCTCCAGGGCTGGACTCGGCCCACTCCTCTCCAGCCTCGTCTTCTATCTCACTCTAGCGGACCCAGCAAGGTTAAGTCTTTAACTACCTTTCCTCTCTCTACCCAGAATCTTCTTCAATAGTTCTCTTCAACTGGGTTATTCCTCCTCATCCTTTAGATTTCAGTTGATATGCCACTTCCTCCAGAAAGCTTTCCCCGACTCTCTACAGACTATTTCAGATACCACTGCCAGGCTCTACCACAGCAACCTATTACTCCCTTTTCATTATGTTTCTAACACTTTATTACGTTGACTTATTTGTTGGTCTCCCCTGCCCTGCTAGACGATGAGCTCTATAAAGGTTAGAACCATGATAGGGAGTGACCAGTTCATATTTTTAAATATGCCCCTCCCTTTCAGTCAAAACAGGCTTATTGCTACAGTATATACCACTCTTGGCATCATATTTGTGTATTCACTTTTATATAATCCCTCCTTCCACATCCTGCCCCATGGGAATGTCAATTGATTACGTCCATAAAACTTTCTTGCCTATCCCAGGCTAGTGACCTTACCCTTCCCTGGATATCTGTGGCATTTTTACCTTGTATTCCATAATTTAACTTAATCACAAAATAAATAAAGCAATTTTAATACTCTGGGAAAAAACAATGTTTCTCCTAAACCAACACCAAAGAATCAGTGATACAATAGTAATGCACAAATATTAAAACCTTTATAGTAATTCCCCCACATTCAATTTAAGAATTAATTTCTCTCGTTCATTAAAACAGAAGAATCACAAGCTTTAGACAGTATTCAGACTCAACTCTGATTCCTAGCTCTGGTACTTACTGACTACATGATACTAGACAAGTGACTGAATTCAAGGTTTCTTCATATGCAACAAGAGAATCAACATACCTACTCTGCAAAACTGTACTAGGGAAATCCTCAGCAAAAACCTAGCAAACCGAATTCAACAGTACATTTAAAAGATGATACATCATGACCAAATGGGATTTATTCCTGCAATGCAAGAATAGTTCAACACAAAAATCATTTGTAGCAATACGTCATATTAATAAAATGAAGGGGAAAAAACACATGATCATCTCAACTGATACAGAAAAAGCATTTGACAAAATCCAATATCTCTTCATGACAAAAACAAATACAGAAATAGCAATAGAAGGGAACTCCTCAACATGATAAATGTCCATATATAAAAAAACACACAGTGAACATCTTATTCAATGCTTAAAGACTGAAAACTTTTCCCTTATGCTCAGGAAAAAGACAGGGATGCCCGATTTCCCCACTTCTATTCAACATACTACTGAAAATTCTCCAGCCAGAGCAATTAGGCAAGAAAAAGAAATAAAAAGCACCCAAACTGGAAAAGAAGTAAAATTATTAGTTTGCAATGACATGATCTTACATGTAGAAAACTCAAGATTTCACAAAAAACAGTTAAAGCCAATAAACAAATTCACCATAGTTGCAGGATACAAAACCAACTACACAAAAAACATTTGGATTTCTATCAAGTAGTAATGAAGAACCCAAGAAAAAATTAGAAAAACAATACATTTACCATAGCAACAAAAGAGAGTATAATACCAGGGCTGGCCTGGGCACATAGCAGTTAAGTTTGTGCACTCCACTTCAGTGGCCTGGGGTTCGTGGGTTCCCATCTCAGGTGCAGACCCAGCACCACTTAGCAAGCCATGCTGTGGCAGTCGTCCCACATATAAAATAGAGGAAGACAGGCACAGTTGTTAGTTCAGGGCCAATCTTTCTCAGCAAAAAGAGGAGGATTGGTGGCAGATGTTGGCTCAGGGCTAATCTTCCTCAAAAAAAAAAAAAATAAGAGTAAAATACTTAGAAATAAATTTAACCAAGGAGCTAAAAGATTTGTACGTGGAAAACTACAACACTGCTGAAAGAAATATAAATAAGTCCTAAATAAGTGGTGAGACATCCTGTATTCATGGATTGGAAGATTTAATATTTTTAACATGATAATACTACCCAAAGCAATCTACAGAATCAATGCAATTCCTACCAAAATCCCAATGGTACTTTTTACAGAAGTAGAAAAACCCAATCTAAAATTCAAATGGAATCTTAAGGGACCAAAAATAGGCAAACTATTTGAAAGAGAACATGTACACCAACAACTAATAGAATGTTATATGTCAATTATATCTCAATCAAAACAAACAAAAAAGAACAAGTTGGAGGACTCACACTTCCTGATTTAAAAATTTACCTCAAAGCTATAGTAATCAAAACAGTTTGACACCAGCATAAGCACAGAAATAGAGATCAATAAAATAGAATAGCCTAGAAATAAACACAAAAAGACAAAGACAATATGTGGGAACAACTTTTGGGGATTCCATTTATATGAGGTACTTAGACTATATGAGGTACTTAGACAAGTCAAACTCATAGAGACAGAAAGCACAGTGGCTACCACGGGTTGGGAGAGAGGGTAATGGATAGAAGTAATTAAAGCAGGCATCCTTGTCTTTTTCCTGATCTTAAGGGAAAAGTTGAGGTACCACTACATACCTGTGAGAGTGGCTAAAATTCAAGACTGAACATACCAAGTGTTGGCATTAATGCAGAAGAAATGTAATTTTCATACACTGCTGGTGAGAATGTAATATGATACAATCACTTTAGAAAACAATTTGATAATTGGTTAAAAAGTTAAACATGCACCTACCACATGATCTATCCATTCCACTCCCAATTACTTATCCAAGAAAAGAAAAAGCTTAAGTCCATTCAAAGACTTGTACACAAATGTTCATAGCAGTTTTCTATTAACTGGCAAAAATTAGAAGCAACCCATATGTCCATCAACAGGTGAATGGATAGACCAACTATGGCATATGCATACAATGGAACACTACTCAGCAACAAAAAGGAATACTATTGATACAACATAGATAAATCTCAAGTTTTTTTGAGGAAGATTAAGCCTGAGCTAACATCTGCTGCCAATCCTCCCGTTTTTGCTGAGAACGATTGGCCCTGAGCTAACATCTGTGCCCATCTTCCTCTACTTTATATGCGGGATTCCTGCCAGAGCTTGGCTTGATGACAGGTGTGTAGGTCCACGCCTGGGATCCAAACCGGCAAACCTGGGGCTGCCAAAGCAGAACATGTGAACTTAATGGCTGTGCCACTGGGCCAGCCCCCTCAACATAATTTTGCTGAATAAAAAAAGCCAGACACATAAGAGTACATATTGTAAGAATCCATTTGTATAAAATTGCAGAAAATGCAACCTTATCTACAGTGAGAGAAAGCAGATCACTGATTGCCTCAGAACAAAGACAAGAGGAGGGAGGGACTGACAAGAGGAGGAAGGGATTACCAAGAGGCACAAAGAAACTTTTGGGGATTACAGATATATTTATTATCTTGACTGTGGTAATGGTTTCTAAAGTGTATACATTTGTCAAAACTTAGTAAACTGTATACTTTAAATATGTACAGTTTACAGTATATCAGTTATACCTAATTCTTAGGCCGCAAAATTAAAAACAAAACAATAATTATAGGTAAACAAAGTGCTAACAATGCTGAAAATCAAAAAAGTATTAAAAAAAAAACTGGATGAGAAAGATGAAGCAAAAAATGGGAGAATACAAAAACAGAAACAGGTAATGAGAGAACCAACTGAGTGTAGTTCGATGAATGAAGGAGACCTAGCCTGACAAAGGTTCCCACCTTTTGGTGAGGGTGCAGGCTCCAGGGAGTTGTGGGGAGAGTGCTGGCCTGGGAGTCAGTCTAGTTTTGGTCTGTCACTAACTACTAGGTAACTTTGAAGAACTCTATTCGCAGGTCTGGAAGTTAGTTTGTTTTATTCAATCTGGACTGTCACAAATAATTAAATTTCTTGGTTGAAGGAACAGAGACGAGATGGAGGAGAAAGGAAGGCATTCAAATAAACAATATTACAATTTGGTTAGGTAGAGTACTCAGCTCTCAAGGACTTTGCTGCTATAATTATCCCCTCTCTCCAGCATCATTATTTTCTCTCTACTGGCTCAGTCTCAACAAGATACAAAAATTCCTCCAAAAAATAAAAAAAGTTGACTCTCAACACCACCCGCCTTCAACCCACTGCTTTATTTCTTCCCTTTACAACAAAATTCTGCCAGAGTTTTTTCACACTTGTCTCATTCTCCTCCCACTCTCTGCCATCAGGTTTTTGTCCCCACTCTTCCACTGAAACTACTCATCAAGGTCACCAATGACCTACACACATTCCCAAATCCAATGGTCAACTCCCAGGCCAGAACCATATGACACAGCTAAACTACTCCTCCTTGAAACATGTTTTTCACTTGAATTCTCTGACACCACACTCACAGCTCCTTCTTGTTCCCCTTTGCTTAATCCTCCTCCCCCAACCTCTAAACGTTGAGTGCCCCAGAGTTCAGAACTAAAACTATCCTCCCAAGGAGGTAATCTAGTGATCTCACCTAGTCCCCTGGGTTTAAATACTATCTATAAACTAAAAATTTAATCTCTCTAATGTCCCCTTCCCCAACTCCAGATTCCTATTTCCAACTACTGTCTCCAATTAGATGTATAATAAACATCTCAAACTTGATATATTTAAAAACAAAACTTTTACATCTCTAGCTTACCAAAATCTGCTCCTCCCCAAGTTTCTTCTACCTCAGAATAATGGAAAATCATTCCTTCATCCAGACGCCATAAAAAACTTTTCTCACATCCCATCTCAATCCCATCATTGGCTCTACCTTCAAAACATGTCCAGAACTGCCCTATTTCTCACTACCTCCACTGTTACCATTCTAGTCTAAAGCACCAGTCACTTTTCACTAATAAACACATCCTAACTGGTCTTCTCACTTCCTCTCCCACCTGCCTACAGTCTACTTTCCACATAGTAGCCAGAGTAATAGCTTTTAAAACGTTAATTACTTGATATCACTCAAAAGCTTTCAATGGCTACCATCACACTTAAAATAAAATCCAAAGTCTTTACCAAGGCCCCTAGCTACAATTCCAAACTCATCTCCTTTCCCTCTCTCCCTCTGTCCACTCTGCTCCAGCCACACTGGCTTCTTTGCTATTTCTCAACACACTAAGCATACTCCCTTCTCAGGGCCTTGGCCTCTTCTGACTTCTCTGCCTGGGATTTCCTTCCCCTGGATATTCCCATCACTCCCACATTTCAGTCTGGTCTCTGCTCAAATATCATCTCCTCAGAGAGATCTTCCCAGACTACCCTATCTAAAATAGCTACCAACCTGCTCGTGCCCTCCTCAAAGTCCCCACCATTATTCAGTTTGGTCTTTCTTCATAGCACTTATTGGTAACTAACATCTATCTATTTACTTCTTTGTCTATATCCCAACTACTAAGTCAAATCCTTGGGAAGTCAATGCCTATCTCCAAGTAGGCATGAAATTAATATTTGTTGAATGAACAAAAGACTGAATGGTTATAGCCAGCCTGGTGGCGCGGCGGTTAAGTGCGCACATTCCACTTGGTGGCCCAGGGTTTGCCGGTTCGGATCCTACACACCACTTGTGAAGCCATGCTGTGGTAGGCATCCCACATACAAAGCAGAGGAAAACGGGCATGGATGTTAGCTCAGGGCCAATCTTCCTCAGTAAAAAGAGGAGGATTGGTGGCAGATGTTAACTCAGGGCTAATCTTCTTCAAAAAAGACTGAATGGTGCATTCAGGAACCAAGACAGCTCTAGGAAAAAAGGTTAGAACCAGATTATCTGATGGTCTGAATATAAGACTAATGTTCTTGGACTTTATCCTTCAGGGAATAAATCTCTGAGGCTTCTGGGAGGAAACAAAATGACATTACTAGAAAACATCAATATGGCAGCAAAATACAAAATGGACTAGAGATAAGAAAAGACTCGACAGAGAGATCAGTTAGAAGGTAACTATAATAATCTAAGCATGAGGTGATAAGTATCTATATTTCTCTATTAGGATGGTAACAATAGGAATGGAAATGTAGGACAGATATAAGTGACACTAGAAGATAATAATTGACAGTACTTAAAAATCACTGGCGTAAGAGGTTTCAAGTTTGAGTGGACTGGCAGAACAGAATAAAAAGAAAAAACTCAAGAAGTCAATTTGAGAAAATAATAGGAAGAATCTGATCTGGAACAAAGTTCAAGATGATGGAAAGATAACCAGATAAGACATTTATAGGTCAAGGCTGAAGGCATAGATTTAGGAGCCATACACACAGAGATAATAGTTAAACCTGCAAGAATAAATCAAACTTCCCAAAGTCTATGAAATTTTCCCAGAAACCTCAAAGTAGAGAATGCCAGCAGCAATATTTAATACATACCTTTAAGGAGCAGGAAGAGGAACAGGTAACAGTGAAGAAATGAAGAATCAATGAGGTAGAAGGTAATAATCACGGGTCATATGTATACGAGACCTTCATCAAAAGAACTAAGTCCAGATCCAGCCTCTACCATTTAATTAACTACAGTGATAGAAGCCAATTACTTAACTTCTCTAGCTTCAGTTTTATCATTTATAAAACATAATGATACATGTATTAGTTGCTATTTTAACAATAGAATAATATAACACCTTACAAGCAGATAGTACTTTATAGTTTCTAAATTACTTTTTAGCTTATCTCATTTAATGCCACAACCATCCTCTGAGGCAGGTCTTGTTATCCACATTCTATAGCTGAGGAAACAGGCTGAAAGATTGAGTCTCTCAGTTTATGAGTTAGAGAACTAGCATGGTACGTAAGCTAGGTCTTCTGCACACGGTGTAGAGGCAAAGAACACAGGCTCTAAAGCAAGGCTTCCTGGATTCAAATCCAGCTCCATCATTTGCTAGCTGTGTGACTAGAGGCAAGTGATTTAAGTGTTACATATACTACTCTTGATAAAGGGATATTTCTCTTCCGTAGGCAGGAATAAGGAACCACAGAGAAATTTTATTTTTCTCTCTTTTTTGAGGAACATTAGCCCTGAGCTAACTACTGCCAGTCCTCCTCTTTTTGCTGAGGAAGACTGGCCCTGAGCTAACATCCGTGCCCATCTTCCTCTGCTTTATATGTGCGACGCCTACGACAGCACAGCGTGCCAAGAGGGGCCATGTCCACACCCGGGATCCAAACAGGCGAACCCTGGGCCACTGAAAAGCCGAACGTGCGAATTTAACCGCTGCACCACCGGGCCGGCCCCCCACAGAGAAATTTTGAGGTAAAGAGACATTAGATGGCTTTGATTTTCTCAGTGAAGGAAATAATCTACTGAGTAATGCAGGAGGGCAGTTTTCAACTCTGATCTGCAGATGTGCCATTGAATTTCCACACACAACCAAAATAAGTCCTCCTGTTCTACATCTTAGGCTTCCTCATAATTTTGTTTGAGGGGTTCACTTACATTCAAGTTTTAAAGCCACTGAATTATATTCATCTCTAAAGTCTCTTGTAACTACTATAAGATATGATTTTATTCTTTGCCTTTGAATCTATTACTAGCTTTTTCTCCATCTCACCCGTCAAAGAAGCCTCAACTCTCCTTCCTCTGAGCCTCACAGCAGTTTGTTGGTGCCTCTTTACAACACTACACATTCTTCAATATAAACACAAAGTCCATTCTCTCATTTAGATTTAAGCTCCTTCAGGGCAAACACTTTGTCACTTACCTTAGTATCCCTCAACCCCAAACAAAATGCAGGCAAGCACTTCCTAAGTACTTGTTAAATGTGCAGTGATTTAAGAATGTAAATATACTAAAATTACAGTGGGCTTTGATTTCCAGACATTTCGTGGCAGCTATCACTTGATTATTCATCTCCCTGCTACTAAACAATATACGTTGCTGGTCTCGCTATTAAGGAACGTTCCTTTAAGATATTTTTTAAAAAGGCAACAAAATGTAAAATAAGAAAAAGATAAAGGAAATGGTTACTTTTTACAATATTTCCTATATACACTAAATGCACATAAAAAGAAATACACTTACCCTGATACAGCTGAAACAACAAAGCTTGGAGCAATGAGGACACAGGCGTGCATCCCGCAATTTCTCCATGCAAATGAAACATCGGAAAACCTCAGCAATGCTCTGAAAATAATAAAAGATGTAAGGTCCTCCAGATTAGGCTACTGAATCAAGAGTAAAAGGTATACTTAAAATAATTCACTCAACATTTACATTTATTTTGGGCTGATAATATCACGGTTTTAACTTTATTCCATAACAGAACTTGGTTAGTCAAGGTCCAGGATACCTCGAACATCTCCTGGAAAAGGTGCTTCCTTTTTTCTAAGCTTTCAATGGTTCTATTCTAAGGAAAAGACATGAAATGCAAACATAGACTTATGCACAAATATTTTCACTGAAGCATTAATTACAATGGCAAGAATCTGGCTATAGCCCAAATATCCAAATACTAATTAAATTATGGCAGTTAGCATAGATTACAACAGTCACTAGAAACATGCCGTGAATTATTTAATGATACAGAAAAAATGTTTATGATATATAACGGTAAGGGGAAAAAAAGCAAACTATATAACTGAATGAACAATATGAATTTTTTACTTTTTTCTGCCTTTCCCCAAAGGGGATGGATTACTTTTATAATTTAAAAAGAAAAAGTTTTAAAAAGATACATATTCTAATGGCAGTGTACTCTGATCAAGAGGGAAACTAATTCAGAATTGGGAAATCCGAATTTCTGCCCTGATGCTGCAACCAACCAGCTATTTATTTGAGCCTGAGATTCTGCCCCTATTGAAAGTTTTGCTGGTAGGTCTATGAAGGCTCTGGGAAGAAAAAAACAACTACGTAACTAGAAGAAATAGTATTATCTTTGCAAGCCTCAGATGAATCAATTTAGGAAGCAACTGACAAGAAAACAAATATAGGTTACTAAACATTTTAAGTTTATTTTTCAGTACTTACATTCATTTTCACTCCATTCCAGGAGCATTAAACTCTCCCAAAACCAAGGCAAGGTTACAAAACCTTTACAATACTTTCACATGAGGAATTAAGGAGAAAATTACTCATGAGTCTAATCATGACTCTGCAGGACCCGAAAGAACCCGTGAGATGCAGACGTTGGGGGATGGCCGGTACAAGCACTGGGTGAACTAGTTCCAACCGGAGTGCCCAGTAACATAGTTGCCCCCTACTGAGAAGCAAAAATTTCGTATTTTAGTATTTGAAAGGATCCAAATTTGACTATTAATATAATTAAGTCTAATAAGCAATCTTTCTTATGGCCCTAGCCTTAACGTAAATATCCCAATCATCTGAAATCACAGCTCACAAGAACCAGATACAAAAAGAATAGGTTTTTCTGGAAAACTACAGTCACACAGCATAGTAAGAGTATATCCTCATTCACTTTAGGAAAGGCAGAAGTCTGCAAAATATATCGATAGGCGGGAATGACTATCCATTCGGAAGATTTGAATCCGCGCATGAACTCGCAAAAACTGGTGGCGAGTCGCAGGGCACGTCCATCTGATGAATTTGCAGTTTTGCTCTGCACAGGCTGTAGTTGGCAAAAACCCTGTGGGGATGATGACCGGCGCCAAGACATCCAGAAAACGGCAGGATACGCACCACCTGACTGCGGGAACCGCCAGAGGACAAGGCACCTGGAGGGCTGCAAACGAGCACTGCGTCCCTCGCACGGGGGCAGCCCTCTCCACAGCGGGTGCCCTACTAGAGGAGGACTAGGGCAAGGTGCCCCGAATAAACAACGCTTAGCGGGGTGGCGGGGGAGACTAACCACCACCCTCCTCAAGTCCCCTCACCTCCACGCTCTGTTCATCCATTGCCTCCGGCTCTCGGCGGGGCCCTCGGCGACCCGCGGAGTCCGTAGACTGACCTAGTAGGCGCCGGCCCGAGGTCGCCAGGTCAAATCGCCGCGGAGAACAGCCCGGCGCCCAGGTCAGGGGGTTCCGACGACCGCACCACCTGCGCGCCCCATCGCTTCGGGTTCGGCGCCAGCTACCCCCCCTTCGCCATTTTTATCCGCGCGCCCGCCCTAGGGCGCTGTGGGAGGGCGAGCTGTGGCCGCAGCTCCTTCCTCCCGGCTCAGCCACCCGCCAGCGACCGCGAGGGAGTCTCGGGCCACGTGACGCGGGCGCGCGCGTATCGAACCGCGGCTAGAGCCCGGCAGTGTTGGTCTCCAGCGAAGAAGGCGCTGCAGGGAATTCGCAAACACCAACGGTAACCAGGGCAGCCGGAGGCGCGGCGGCGGGGGAAGGCGCGGCGCGCATGCGTGCCGGACGCTGCGTTCGGGGCGCGCCGCGGAGAGAGGCGGGTCCCTAGTTCCCGCGTTGCGGGGGCGCACACGAGATTTGGCGGCTCGCTGTCGCAGGGTTGCATGCCTTCGGCCTCGGGCTAGCGCAGGCGACGGGGAGCGTGGCTCTTCGCTGCGTCCCCCACGCTTCAGGGGATGGGCGGTGCTTCAGCTCTCTCAAACTTTCGCGCGCTTAAGACTGGAGCTACCTGGAGTGCTTATGGAAAACGCTGACTCCGGAGCCACACCCCTAGGTATTCGGACTCTGTGGTTCTAGGGTGGGGCCCCATGAAATCCACATTTTCAACAAGCACTGTGCTGTGGCCCGCACTTTGAGAAACCGTGGTGCAAAGGATTCTTGGCTCGTGGTTCTTTCTCTGGGAGGAAGCCCAGATTCTCCGGTTTTTAAGACTTCCGCCCCACCAACCCAAGCAAAGTTCAAGACTGAAGCCTAGACCGGTGCAGTTTCTCATTTTGGAGGTGGGAGGAAGAGACCACAGACTGTGTAGACGTCAGACCGATACCCCACCCTGCATTTCTTGCGCTGGAAGTGAGCTGTTGCCGTGGAACTACGGAAAGTGCAAAAGGGTATCGGCTGTATTCAGCTTTCCTATATTGGCGTCTGCTATCTACAATTTTATGGCATAAGAGATGTTTAAAGATTGCAGGAATTGAAGCTGTGAGACAAAGAACTTACATCAAATTCTTAATTTGAACTTAATTTTTCTTTTCTGGTTTGTTGCACACTACTACACTTAACCCGACCTAGAGTGCACAGGCAGAGAATCAACAAGAATCTAGAAATTAGTTCTTGAAGATCAGGCATTTGTACTTTCTTAGAAGTAGTGGGTAACAATTTTTTTTAAACTGTGAGCCATGGACAAAGATATATATTAGGAATATTAATCTGTGACTGAAAAATTCTTTCACGAAGAATTATCCATGGTCTTGGAACTACAATGAAGTGATGGTAGGACAACACCGTTTGTACTAAGATGCCCTTAATTGTACACTTTAATAATGTTAAATGGTTAATTTTTATGTTATGTGAATTTTACCTCAATTTAAAAAGTTATTTATGGAACACAGTACTGTACTTGGGATTCAAAGAGTAGTGAGAAGTGGTCTCTGCAACCCAGTTTAGTAGAAAACAAGACAAATTAAAATATATGATAAATATTAAAATAGGTTCCTGTACAGCTAGATATATTTGCCCAAGAACCCAAAAATATTTAAGGATTTATTGCAATATTTCACAATAGTGAAAAATTAGAAAACCTGTATAACTAATGAGGGGTCATTGGTTGCAAGCACAAAGTCAGATTCTGGCTAACAAGCAAAAAAGAATTTGGTAGGATGCTAAACTACACTGTGGAGTTGGGAAGCCTGTAATCTGCTCCATCAGAATTCCTTAACGGCTGACTTTACTGCCCTCCTCCCTTCCCCCCACGCCCCAAAAAACACATCTCCTAACTTGTCTATTAGGACAAAGCCTATCAATAAGATACTGGTAAAAATAATGGAACACCCATATATTGGATTTCAGCTGTTCAAAAGAATGGCAGATGTGTGACATGAAGACATCCAAAATATATTTAAAATGAAAAAGACTAAGTGCAGCTGCAGTACAATGTATGGTATCAGCCGATTTTTGTTAAAAAAAAAAAAATCTTGTATACATGTAGAAACATCTGAAGACATTGTTTGCAGATTACTTCTGGAGAAATTAGGCACACGTATTTTTTAATTTCTTAAAGTTGCATTAAAATACAACTTAATTAAAACTAATTTTTATTACTTACAGCTAAGAATATAAGATCTCTATAGTCATATAAGAGAAAACAATTATCCAGATGAGAAATAAAAGCTCTAAATTAGAGTAGTAAGAGTAAAGATAAAGTGGAGGTTGGAAACTATGAAAATTTCAGAGAGAGAATTACAGATTTTATCAACCAAGAAGATAAAGAAAGGGATGCAAATGTTTTAATTCCAGCTAACACAATAGTGGCCATTAACAAAATAAAATCAGTAAGTATTCTGGACGTGTTCAATTTTGAATGGTCAGGTAAATATTTTTATTGGCAATATGGACCTAGATCTAGTGCAAGAGTTATATTTGGGAATTACCCACAAAGAGGCAATAAGTGAAGTTTGAGAAACAAATGGATATATAAAGAAGTGCATAGAGAACAGTTTTAAGGGGGACAAGGGAAAGAACCAACATTTAGAAGATGACTGAGAAGGAAGGTAAAACAGTACAATCTAGTTTTTTTCCCTATTGAAAGCAAAACCACTTTAACACTATGAACATTTTATGACCTCATGATACTACCATTTTTCAATCCCACCAATCAATATCATATCCCAAAGCCATCCCACAACAGGGACTTCCTTACTATTAATTGCCTAACTACTAAAGAAAATATGTTACTAAGGTATGACTTATTTTTCTGTAATTTAAAAAAGGGGAGCTTTCTGTTCTGTTCTAGTTCCCAATTAGACAGGACAATTTTAATTGAAGCTACTCTCCCAAACCCGTTTGTCAGCTGTTATAAATTTGTTAATGGACAAATAACACACTCATGACAAAAATTTCCTTAATTATATAAAAGTATAATTCTATAACTTGCAGAACTAAAATTTGATGCATTTTTCCTAGTCTTTTCAATGCTTCATATTTTATTACATATATGGAAATATTATTTATTGAAGGATTACTAAATATCAAACCCAGACACTTTACCATCTCATTGTGCTTCCAACGAGAAGTTAAATAATTTGCTCAAGGTCACACAGCTAGAAT